CGATGCGGCGGCTAGTAAAGCGACCAAAACGCTGGCTTGCATCCATAGATGCTTCTCAAACAAATCCCAGGACGTCATTCTCCCCCTGTACTCGGCCTTAGTGAGGCCGCAGCTGGAGTACTGTGTCCAGTTTTGGGCTCCACAATTCAAAAAGGATGTGGAGAAGCTTGAGACAGTCCAGAGAAGAGCCACGCGCATGACCAGAGGTCAGGGAAACAGACCCTACGATGACAGGCTGAGAGCCCTGGGGCTCTTTAGCCTGAAAAAGCGCAGGCTCAGGGGTGATCTGATGGCCACCTACAAGTTTATCAGGGGTGACCACCAGCATCTGGGGGAACGTTTGTTCACCAGAGCGCCCCAAGGGATGACGACTAGGTCGAATGGTCACAAACTACTACAAGACCGTTTCAGGCTGGACATAAGGAAGAATTTCTTTACTGTCCGAGCCCCCAAGGTCTGGAACAGCCTGCCACCGGAGGTGGTTCAAGCGCCTTCATTGAACACCTTCAAGATGAAACTGGATGCTTATCTTGCTGGGATCCTATGACCCCAGCTGACTTCCTGCCCTTTGGGTGGGGGGCTGGACTCGATGATCTTCCGAGGTCCCTTCCAGCCCTGATGTCTATGAAATCTATGAAATATTTTTTTTCTGTGAACAGTCATTTAACAGTCATTGGCTCACTCATCCAATCAGCAAACCAAAACCAAACTGTGCATCTTATTTGAAAATTCATGAACAGAGTTGGAATGATAACAGTTCAGAAGCACTTGATTTTTTGTTTTCTTTTTTTAGTCTATAGAATTTGACCCCCCCCAAAAAATCAAATATTTGCAAATAATAAATTTTGAGGAAAATGCAGTCTGGTTACATGAGATATGTGCGTGTTAGGGGCAGGCACATTTGTAAGATACTTTCTTATTTATGGTGTGTGAATTCTTTACTCGTCTCATAATTGCTTATTATAAAATTACTGAAATATATATTATTGGGGAAAATTAACTTTGTGTGATCTTTTTATTTTTTTAGGTCGCCAGCTTCTTTTAAAAGCCGTAAACAGAGTATGGACAGAGCTGATTCACAGTAAGAAACAGGTTTTAGAAGAAGCTTTCAAAGTAACACTACCCGTCAATGACCGTGGCCAAGTAGATATAGTGGTAGCAAGACCATGTATTGAAGAAGCAAGTTTAAAAAGCTGGCAAAATCATTTGGGTAAGAGGATGATGATTTTTCCGTTACTAAATTATATCATGTTGATGTGGTATCTTCTGTACAGTGGATTGGAGCTTACGTATTAGACCTTTAATAATTAACTTGGTGTATGTACACTTACATTACTATGTTCTGCTTTCACAAATCATAGCATATATTCTTCAGACCAAGATACCTATTGCCCTCATTTTTGATGGTCCTTTACTGACTTCTACTTTTTTAGATCTGTTCTTAATCTGTTTAACATGTACTTTAGTGATACTATGTAATGTCATGAGGTATAACATCAAACACTTTAAAAATGTTTTACATCTATGGAGTTATCTTTGTCAAATGAACATACAGAACACGAAGGCTCATTTTCAGTATAATTAGGTTGACTGTTATTAATTCTTGTACTATCCTTTATAAGGTAAATAACTATTAATAATAAAGTCCCAGAGTGGAACTAGCATTATTAGTCTTACTTGTTGGTATGTATCTCCACAATTGTTTTGATTAAAAAGCATATTGGCATATAACTTTTTACAAAAACGCTATTAGAGGTCAGAGGTTTGGGATTTTTTGTCAGCAAATTTAGTCTTGTTTGCAGCCAGAGGTTTGGTATCAGCAAATTTTGTTTCGTCTGCAGCTGTGACACTCCAACTGTAGTACTGTTCAATTCTCCAGTCTGGTTTAAGTTAAGGCATTAGTAGTAGGGACTATTAACTTCAAAGAAGCAAGGCTGCTAGTACAGCAAACCAACATCATATCATAAAACCTACCCCAATGATGCAACTTGCATCTATCAGTGTTTAAACTTGTACTGCCTCTTTGGCTTGTGGTTGATTTTTTCCAGCTGCATACAAGTGTTGATGGTTACTCTTAAAAAGTAGTTCTGGATTTTACATGGCTTTAATTCTATTTAAGAAGTAACCCTGGTGGTCTTTGATATTTTAGTCCATGAGAGAAAATGCATCAGTAGAGGGGAAGCTTTAGTTCCAACCACACAGTCCAAGCTTTCCCGGGTCAGCAGTGGATTTGGCCTTTCCAAGCTAACTGGATCAAGAAGAAACCGAAAGGAAAGTGGACTCCACAAACATAATCTTTCCACCCAGGTACTTTTAATTTGTTTTAATTATGGCATGCAGATACTTGGGAGAAAAATCTGGCAGCTTCTGTTTATTATATGCGGTCAATACCATGTAGGGTAGAGGATCATTCAAAATGTTATTGTTAATTTTTGTTATTGTTCCTTATGTTCAAACTTGCTCTGTAACTTCTACTAGAAAGCCCTGTGGGTTATGCTCAAGCATATATGTAACATTAAGCAGTGAGCTTTTGTTTTTTTCTGTCACTGGGACTGCTCATATGCTCAAAAGTACACATATGCTTAAGTGTTTCTCTGGGGTTTAGGTTGTAGCCGTGTTGGTCTAAGGACATAGGCAGACAAGGTTCCTTGGGTGAATTTGATATCTTTTATTAGACCAACCCAAATAGTTGGAGAATATTTATTAAGCAAGCTTCCCAGAGCCACCCATCCTAGCCTTCAAACAAGCACCGAACCTCGCCAACCTCATCACCAGAAGCAAACTTCCTCAAGCCCAGAACACACCAAAAGGATCCAGACCGTGCCATGACAAGAAATGCAAAACCTGTCAACACATCTTCACCACCCCCACAATTACTACACCCCACAACAGAGTCATCAGCATCCCAGGATCTTACAGCTGCACCTCCAGAAATGCAATATACCTCATCCAATGCACCAAATGCCCTGATGGAAAATATGTAGGAGAGACCAAACAACAACTGCGCACCGGAATGAATGCATACCGGAAATCCATCAAAGACAGAAATACCCAATTACCGGTGGGGGCACATTTCTCACAGGAGGGCCACTCTCTCTCCAATCTCTCAGTCCCGATCCTCAAGGGAAACTTACACAACACTTCCCAGAGACAAGCCTATGAGCTCCATTTCATCAACCTCCTGGATACTAGAGATCATGGACTAAACATAGACATTGGATTTTTGATACGTTATAATCTGCCTGGCAACTGACTCCCCAGCCCAGCTCCTGGCTTCTTTATTTTTCATTCCATCCAGGAAGAGCACACACCAACTGCTGAAACTTCCTTAGGTTGACGAAGGGTTTTTGAACCTGAAAACTTGCTTAATAAATATTCTCCAACTATTTGGGTTGGTCTAATAAAAGATATCAAATTCACCCAAGGAACCTTGTCTGCCTAAGTGTTTCTCTAGAATAGATGCTAGAACATTGCTCCAACTTGTAGAATCCCACTGTAAAGTGAAACCAGCCCATGAAGGACAAAGTAGATGTCCCTCTATTTCTGCTTTTTTTGTTTTTAATTAACAATATTGTGAGATTTATTTTCTCAGACAAAAATTATGTTGAAAAAAATAATGAATGCTTCTCTACAGTATTTTTTCCCCCACAGAGCAGTGCAAGACTAGTTTGCAGTACGTTTTAAGACGTTTATTTGAATTTGGTGTCCCCTTTGCTGTTGTGGGTAATCGCTACCATACATTCCGTATTTATTTGAATGCAAGATGACTCTGAATATAAGACAATCCCCAATAATTAGATTCTATATATGGAAAATGTATAAATTTCTTATAACTTCCCAGGTATAGAATCTAAGTATTGGAGGTTTGTCTTGAATCCATCTCCTCACTGCTAGAGAAGAAAAAGCAATGGCTGGGGGGAAAGTTGGGGATGGTCAGGTGGCCCCCTTGCCCTCTGCCCTACCTGTTCTCCATGTAGCTTTCCTGCCACCTGTACCCCACCAGCTCTCCACAGTCTCTGCCCCTCCCCCTACTCTCCCCAATCTTTGTCTCTTCTCCCCTTGCTCCCCCAGTCTCTGCCTCTTCCCCTTCTGCTCCCCACGCCTTACTGTCAGACACTGCTCGGGCTGCCCTGTCCCAGGTCCCAGAGCACAGCACATGAAAGCTCACCTCTTGCCTGGCCATAAGGTAGTGTTAGCGCTGCTGATTGGCTAGGCAGGTAATGTAGCAGTGTTGGCACTGATGATTGGTGTGGCAGGGGGAAGAGTTTCCATGTGCTCTGTGCCTGGGAGAGACCCCAGCCCGTCAGAGCCCAGTTGCACCTGACTGTAATGAGAAGGTAAGAAGGGGGATGGGGAGGCAGAAGCTATAGAGGGAAGGTGGAGGGGGTGGCGGGAAGCTGCTTTGGGTCTGACTCTGGCCCCAGCAGCCACCTGCTCCCCCTCTGCTTCATATGCAACTATAAGACAAGGGGCTTTTTTCCGCAGGCTGATTGGCAGAGGGACCTCGTGTTATGGTCAAGTAAATACGGTAATGTACTTGAAATATTTTCAAAGTATTTAGAGGTTCTTTTAGGCTGATAGCAACATACATATACTCAAGATTAATTTTCAAAACTAAAAAAATATGATTGCTTTACATGGTTTGAAATAAATATACTTCTAAGAAGATCCTTTTTCATGTCTGACATAACAAGGTATTTTATTCATAATTTCCAACAGAAATCTACTGTCTTAAAGTTGTACCTTATGTATTTTTTTTCTTTGTATTAGGAAATTTCCCAGTGGATGTTTACTCACATTGCTGTGGTTCGAGACCTTGTAGATATGCAGTATCAAGAGCATCAAGAGGTAAGGTTTAGAGAATTGGCAAGGAATAAGATTTTGTCCTCTTAAAGAATGACATACTGTGTCTAAGATGCTATACTTATAGTAAAAGAAGTCCTGTCCTGTGGGGTTTACATGTAAATAGAAAAAGGAGAGAGCATAAGGGATGGTAATGTTTGCACAGAGAAATGAAGCATTTTCCCCTTTGACACAAGGTTAGTAGCAGAGTCAGGACTGATTCCCATTCCTGTCTCCTTTCCATGGTTACATGCTGTCTTGTACTGAAATGTTATGCATCAGGTTTTAAAAAAAATCTTGACTATTTCAGTTTATAAATACGAAGGAAACCTGTTTATTCAGCCCCACCTCCATATCTTAGTAAGTGGAATGCATAGTCTGAAATAGTTATCCAGACACTGAATTTTATCATCTAAATTATGTTCATCCATATGATAGATGATTTATAAAATAATTTTATGTTTACAGTGTTCTAATATTTATAATGATCATACTGAAGATGGAAGTCCAAAATTATTTATTCTTTAAGCATTTGTATATAAATAATCCACAGTAAGGGTGCTTGCAAAACTGAAGCATCCACAAAACACCTAGGCAATTTCTTCATTTACATGCATCAGACACCAGTTAGAAAGGTCTTTTTTTTTTCTTTTTGTCTGAAGTAGACTTTGAGATTTTAGTTTGTGACAGCCCCAAAGAAAAATAATGTGATCCATAAAAAAAAATACCCTTGCTTCTCTTGAAATGAAATTACCAAAATTTAATTTTTCCTTCTAAGCAGATATGATTAGCAGGCTGCTTAACAACTCCTATAAATGAGAGTAATTAGCTTCCTGAAGGACCAAGCACTTGGAATCAATAAGCAATATAACACTGGCAGCTTACTTAATATTTGCATTATATGTGTACATGGAAAGTCCAAGAGAGAGATTCAAAATCATCTAAAAATTCAAATTGCTTTATAATTTTGTCACTTAACCACAACTGTTCCACTGACACATGAACTGCTCTTAAAATATTATTCTGACTTGCCTGTAAGCGTAAATATCTCTCTATTTACAGCGCCAGCAAAATGCATTAAAATATGTAACAGAAGAGTGGTCTCAAATTGAGTATGAATTGTTACGGGAGCGAGGGCTGTGGGGGCCTCCCATTGGCTCTCATCTGGATAAATGGATGTTGGAGATGACAGAGGGCCCCTGTAGAATGAGAAAGAAGATGGTACGAAATGACATGTTTTATATTCAGTATCCTTACGTACCAGAAGCCGAACAAGAGACAAATCTGCTGGTAAGATGACAGTGCTTGCGTTTGTAGTAGTTCTTGGCTTTTATTAGTCTAAAGTGCAGTATTTGTTGGTGTTCTTTAAATAGGCTCATCACAATGTAAAAAATTTGGTTGGTGTTGCTGATACCTTATGACTGGAATAGTAAATTGATTACCACTAGTGATTTTTATGAAGGATCAAGTGAGTAAAATGGGAGGGGAAACGGCCTTTGGCCACAAGTGGCATTATCAGCTTCTGAATCACTGACAGCTCAAAACCAAATATTCTTTACACTTATGTGCCAGCATTTTTCAAACCATAGGTTGCAACCCAAATATGGGTCACAAGAATGTATTAAAGGGTCGCAAACAAACTTAAAAAATGAATCAGCAACTTTAAAAATGGATTTAAAAAGAGAAAAATGTGGAAAACTAGTTTTTCCCTTGCAGGCTGTCAGAGTTCAGAAAAGGTTGAAAACCACTGCTCTAACAAGTAAAGCATGAGATGAGATACTGATGCTGCCTGCCACAGACCAAATTACACTAAAAAGCAGGATTATCAGCTTCCTAAGCACCTTTCTGTAACATGCAAGAAAAACAACTGAATTCACAGGAACTTGCTGAGTAACATACGTCTTATTCTGCTAATACTGAAACATCTTTGTTATAGACAACAATTTTCTAACTTGGGAAGTGTTGTATACAACCTAGATGATTCCATAGTAAATCTCATCTCAACAGATAAAGGAACTTGTCAGAGAAACTAATGATTGATCTGGTTCAAGTGATTGTAATTTGATGACCCTTGTTATCTGAAAAGAATCGGGCCCTATAAAGCACTGTATGTGGCTGGTGCTTTAAAAGAGAGGTTTCATTTTTTAAAACTAAAAATGATCGACCCAAATCACCTGAGGTGGAGGGGGCGGGAGGGATGGGAAGAAGGCAGGATTAAACTGGGAAATGTGAAAAAATGAGAAAACATAAAACTATTTTGGAATGTATTATTAGATGGCTAAAAATCCGCAATTGAGAAAGAAAGCTGTGCTAGTATGCTTAGAGCAGGGATGGGGCAACCTACAGCCCATGAAGAGACTAGATCCAGCCTGCAGCAGCTCAGGCAATCTGCAGCACATTGCAGTCAGGGTAGCAGAGATGTGTCCCCATGGTTGTACCATCTGCTGGATTCCATCCATTCCCTCCTTGTTATCTGCTGATTGTTGAGGGATATGAAGATTTGCAGCCTGTGGCAGGGGGTGGGTAGAAAAGGTTGCCTGGCTTAAGGCTCTTGTTGCATTTATATCATAATTAATGTGCTAATTGTTCTGTAAATTGCGGCATGCCATGCATTTGGCCAGGTTACTACACAGTAAAATGGCAAACCAACCACAAAAACATTCCATGTGCTTTACTTTGAACATTTGGCATGCAACCCAGCATTTGGGCTGCATAGTGTGACTTTGAATATGCACACGTTGGTAGCCGATGGGTGCTTCTAACACAGGGCCATTTAAAGCCATGCTGTACAGCCCAATGGTAGATCTGCAGCATGGACAGCTGGGGATACGGGAACTCTTTGACTAGCTTGCACATACCCTGGCACAGAAGCTGGATATGAGGGAGCTCCCTAGTCCCCAGCTGCATGTGAGTTGTTTCTACACCAGGGCATATGCAGGGGGAGTTTTCTTGCCCTTGGGTGCACATGCACTGCTGTGCATGGAGCTGGTCACTAGACAGCTCCCTAGTCCCTGACTGCATGCACACCGCTTTCATGCTGGGATACCTGCATCTGGGGACTGGGGAAGGCCCTGGTCCCATGCTGCTTGTGAACCGGGGATTGGGGAGCTCCCCAGATGTTTACACTCTGGCATGGCAGGACACATGATTGTTTGGATGTGGAACAAAATTCCTCAAATTCCTCCCATTGCATAAATTAAAATCTGGCAGGGGCCTTATAGGCCCAGCGTATGCAGCTATTGGTTGGTGGGGGTTGTGTAGAGTGACAGAATCGTACGTAACAAATAAAGAGGAAGTGGTGCTTAGAAACTAGGAATTGTGGAAAACTAAAGGAAGCAAAAGAACACAAGAAGAAATCTGAGTGGCAGAGTTAAGGACAATAAGGAGGTGCTATTCAAGACCAAAAATGTTGCAGCAAAAATATCAGTTAGTCACTAGATGGAAATAGTAGAATTGTCACTATTAATCCAGAAATAGCAAAGTTACTCAATAAATATTTTTCTTCTCTATCTGAAGAAAAGCTGTCACGTGTAATAAAGCACCTAATGGCAAAATATCTTTCCATTTCAACCATAATTACAGAGAGGCTGTGAAATGGCAACTATGCAAGTTAACCATTTTAAATAGAAAGAACATAGATAACTGGCAAATGAGTTTTAAAAGCCCAGACCAAGGAGCTCTTGTTACCATTAATATTGATTTTTTTTTTTTTTTTTTTTTTTTAATTGGATCTTGGAATACTTTGCAAGTTACAGAGAAATAGAAAAAAGCTTGCGTTGTATATAAAAAGGGTAAACATAGTGCCTTGAATTAAATAGTCTGTCAGGATTACATTAAATTCAGGCAGAATAATGGAACTGCTGAAAAAGGACTCAATTCATAAAAAATTAAAGCAGGATTGTGTAATTAGTAGTGGTAATATATTAGCATTGCAATTTATGAGAACTAGATCACTATCTTGATAACATTTTTGATAATACTATGCTTGGTTAACAAAGGTAGTGGTGTCGACATAACATACTTCTCTAAGGTATTTGATTTGGTTCCAAATGATTAAGAATCTAAAATAATTCAAATTCAGCATGACCTTACATTGATTAAAATTAGCTAATAAATCTTAAAATGTAATTGTAAACACGGAATCATTAGTAGATGTGTTTACAGAAGGCTCCATAATGCTTGCAATAGAACATTTTTAACAATGACCTGAAAGAGAACACAATTGTTACTGGTAAAGTTTGTAAAGTTGGGGGAATGTTAAATAATTGTAGAGTCGCAAATGAACAGGAATCTGGGTTTTGTTGATAAGCTGGGTAGAGTCAAACAGCAGGTCTTTCAGTATGGCCAAATGGTAAGTCATTCATCTAGAAACCATGGATGTGGGCCACACCTACAGGATGGGGGACTTTCTTCTGGGATGTCCTGGCCCTAAAAAGAAAATCTTAGGGGAAACACTGAAATAATTAGCTAAACGTGAATTCCTGGCCTGAGGCTATATAATCTTTGGGGCTAAATACAGATGATCAAAAAGACTAAGGCTGAATCAATTCAATCTTCTCAGGTTAGTCTAAGCTATATAAATTGAACTGATAAGCAAGAGAACAGACTTCACTTTTGATTCTGGAAATGCAGCTACATGCCTGCAGTGGCCCAGGCCAAACATTAGGGAGTGCTAGAGCATCCCTCCCTGCTTGGCTGGAGCAGACAGCTTGGGCCAAGGCTAGCCCACCCACCCTGGCATGCTGGAGAACTGTGAGTTAACTTGAATCTGGAGGGGATCTGCGGCAGAAGTTCAATAGACTGATTTAACCTAAATCAGTTAAGTCTGATATAGTACCTCTATCCAGGTTTATCTTAAACCAGTTTTGGCCATTTTGAAAGCGGTTTATATGCATTGAACTTTGGTGTTACAGAATTGAACCGGTTTCTGATCACATGCATCAGTTTATGTGCAATTTCTCTCCCTACCCTGGATGTCTCAACAGGGGAGCATTATGTAGAAGTAGGGAGGTAATATGCTGGTGTTTGGTACTGGTGCAGCCTCTGTGTCCGGTACTGGTGTCCACATTTCAAGGAAGTTGTTGATATATTGAAGAGAGTTCAAGGAGGGCTCACAAGAACAATTAAAAGATGGGGGGAAATTCTTTTCAGTCAAAGATTCCAGTGGCCTGATCTGTTTGGCTTGTCAAAGGGAAGTTTTAAGGGATGATTCATTCACTGTAAATACCTATGTGGTGAACAGAAAACTCATGAAGGGCACTTGAATTCAGTTGAGAAAGTTGAAGTTTACACTTTATTTCTAGTCTGAATCTATCTAATTTTCACTAGTGAAGCTGATTAACCATTGGAACAGGTTACCTCAGGGTTGTGGTGGATTCTTGAACCCTGTGTTTACCTCAAGGTTGGCTGTTCAGGAGGGCTCTGTTTTTTAAATAGAAATTCATTCCTAAATGTCTCCTGGAATTTGGAAGAATATACAGTGTCTAATACCAGACTGAACTCTTTAGTCTTCGCATTGTTTAGGAGAAATTCAGTCACTACCGGTGCATGAGGTAATTTTGTGCCCCAGGTTTGTGTGTTTTGGTTTTCTAAAGTCAACCAGATAGTACGCCAGTATTAATTTATTATGGAGGTTCATACTTAGAGCAGTGCATGAAAATGTAGCCCTTACAGTTTTTGCTGATGTAACGTTACTGAGATAATTTGGTGAGAAGTGTAATTCTCATGCCCTGAAAAAAATTGTATAAAATGGATACCTGATCTTTAAACATAGTGCAAACTGTAAGCCTCCTGACTTGGTTTTGTGTGCACATCTTATTTGTGCCCATAGAACTTTGATACATATTTCAGTGTTATTTCTGGATACATGGGCCGTAAGTAGTGACTGCATGTCACCTTTTTGAGTGGCAGCTTGCTCCTTAAAAATTTGTATTCATTTTGAAAGATCTCTGGGTTTTTTTGCATCTGTCTCATCAAAATGAGCGTGGAAAAATTTTACTTTAAGAAGAAAAACATGAATTATTTTAAGAGAACGGTGGTGGATACTGACCACACTAACTTTGCTTACATTGTTGGATAAAGTTCACTTTGCTGACATCACACTCATGAGTTTTAATGACTGGTGGGCTTGCACAAAAAGGAGAATGTGCCACTGTGCATTATTCTCAAAAGTGGATTTTTTTTCCTGATGTGTTTATACTTAATACCCTATTTTCAGTCTGACTTCTCAAGTAAACCTCCTGAGACACCCGATGATACCATTCCTCAAAAGGTAAAGACATAAGATTACCCACTGAAAGAATGTAAAACAAATACAAACTTTTTCTGCATGTTAGGCAATCTTAACAAGGCTTCTGTGATTGGCTTTCAACCTTGCTCTTTCAATATTTTCAGGATTAAAGGTTTATATCATTCACACTCCTGGATGTTGCTGTTCCTTCTTCAGTCTCCACTTAAACCTTTCTTTAGATCTTCTCCTCTGTGCCGCACACTAACAGGCTGTGTTGGGCTATCGCTGTTCTCACTGTAAAATGTGTATTGTGTTTGGAGCCGAACTAAAAGACTATGGAACACGTTTAGTAATGGGCAACAGTTATTTTTGTAGTAAGGAAAATTAACAGCACTGTTGCATTATTTTTTTAAAATGATGATGAGCATTTGGAAGTTTGGAGTGTGCCTCTCCCAATTGTAATTAACTGTGGATTGTAACCAAATTGTTGATGGAAACAAGGTCACATTTTTTCCTTGAAATCCCCCCATGGTAGAAAAAAAGATCATTTTAATGTGTTTTAAGCTTCAAAATACCAGACATGCCTCAAAAATAATCAAGACTTGGATGCTGTTGGCCCCTCCGCATATTCAAATATTGTTACACTTTCCTATTAAATTATGTTTTAAGTCTTGCCCATCACTAAGTACGGTATGCAGTTTGCATTCACTTATTTTGTAATAAGCTTCTTGTTTAACTAATGCATATAAAATAAAAGCAGTTAAATAATATAAAGTATTACATATGGTGTATTTAGGATGGTTATTCTCATCTTTCCTTCAGTTTAATTCTGTTGTTTTTTTCTATAGGTTCTTCAGTTATTGCCACAAAAGTAGTATGGCAGTGAATTAATTTAATTTCAGCAAGTGTAATCCTGGTTTCTGGTACAAAACTATCAGGATGTTTAATCTGTCACACTCCCCTTACGTGAGCTGGCATATCTAAAAAGATGCATTCCCTCTTTTAGCTCATGAGTACAGAGGTGTAGTTGGCCAACTTCATCTGAAGTCAGGTAGAAGTCATGGCAGGGTGGAATCTTACAAGACTAGCTGGTTCAGAGAGGCATAAGCTTTTGTAGGCAATAACCTACTTCAGTAAATGCTCAAAATAGGCTGTCATCTGTGAAAGTTTATGCCTCTGAATCATTTAATCTCTAAGGTGCCATCCTGCCTTGTTTCTTTTAGTTCAGGGATAGTCTGAGGGGAATAGAGAAGTCTCCATTTTGTTAGCCATCATCTTTTGATCATTCAACACTTGTAGATATGCTAATTTATCTACTTCACTAATTTATCATTTTGCTGCCCAAATATTTACAGATGGATCACATGTAGACTAACTTTTAAAAACTTGTGGTTTTGTGTTTCCAGTAACTAAAACTGCAGGAGGGAATGCCTAAACTTATTAAAATAGCTGATGGCAGGTGGTACCATGCTGGTTTTATGATGATAATTAAAGCATGGATAGGAATAATTTTTAGGTTACATGGGAAAGGGTGCTGCAAGGTATGTGTTTTTTTTTGTTTTTTTTTTGAATTTCAGAGTTTAACTTGTATGGGTACTGAGAGGCAGTTAGCTATCTTAATCTGAAGGCAGGCAGAATACAGGGCAGGGTAGCACCTAAGGGTGCTTGTAGACATGTGGGGGGACTGCTCCGGTGCACTGTAATTAGAACACGTTGGAGCAGACTCTATTTAACTGAGTCTGCTAGTGTGCTAATTAGCATGCTGTAGCCGCCTCCATGTCTCATGTATTCAGTGTCCCTGCGCTTCAAAATGGCGACAGGGGCACTTTAACTAAAGCTTGTCAAATGAGCTTTAATTAAAGCACCCTCCTCCACCACCATTTTGAAGTGCTGGACGCTGTATACACACAATGCTGCAGGCACTTTAATTAGAGAGGCTCTCAGAGCTGCTCTAATTAAAGTGTTTGCCCCTCCCCCCACTCCTGGAGCACGTATAAAGACGGTTTTAGAGACTAACTGGTTCAGAGAGATGAGCTTTTGCAGATTACAATATAGTTTGTCAGTTGTCTTTCTGAACCAGTTAGTTTCTAAGGTGTTGCCTTGTCATGCTGTCTGCTTCAGTATGGGGTTTTCTAAGCTTCTAAGCAACAGTCAGAAATGAAAATCTTCAGTTTAGATTCCAAATCTATCTTTTCTCCATCAACAGAAAGTAATTTTTCCTTTTGGGAAGGAAAGAAATCATTCATTTCTCTTCCTTTAACTTTGTTTCCCCAATTTTCCTTCTGTGATCATTCAGACACATTCAGTCTCCTCATTTTGTAGTATCTTGTACTCACTGAAAGATATGCATTGCAATTAAGAGTTTACTTTATTAAATAAGACATCTCAGGCCACTCCCCTACCACCACTAATGTCTAGAGGGTTTTTGGTTTTTTGTAGTTAAATCCCCAAAAGTTTTCTGAGACCAGCAACCCCTTGGTTTATGTCAGGCTTAATGCATCACAAGTGTTTGTACATCTTTATCTTCCCTTGAGGCAGAATTTTATTTAAACTAATGCCTGAAGAAAAAATAAACTATTTAATGAATAAGCTGCTCACACTTCAGGGATTGATGGAATATAATAAAACATCCATCTGAGATAAATACGCTTAACTTAAAATGCAGATTTATCAGGTCTTTTGTGACGAATCATAATGCACTGGCCATATTTATTAGCTCTATATTACAAGTTTTTCTGCAGACAGTGTCCCAGTTGGATCATTATTTCAGAGACTGATTAGCTTCTTTGCACATATTTTTAGAAATGGAATCTTAAAGCTTTCTCTTTATTGTTTGTAATTAGTTTAGGATTTACCTCAGGTAAAGGTGCGTGTACCATGCTTGCATATTCTTGAAAACTATTTGTTTACATTGTTGGCTAACCACAGGCTTTCTTTTGACTATTTCTAAGAAACCAGCTCGTTACCGAAGGGCCATAAGCTATGACAGCAAGGAATACTACATGCGCCTGGCTTCTGGGAATCCTGCTGTTATCCAGGATACTATAGAAGAGAATTCAGAGGGTGAAGCCACTCAGCAGGAGCCAGAGCATGGGGAAGATACTATTGCTAGAGTTAAAGGTTGGTCATTTGTTCCAATAATCTGTTTGAGGCTAAGTTCTCATATTTAAATAGATTTCTACTTGCCTAAGTTTGGTTTCTTCAATTTACTCTTCCTTTGAAGTTGACCCCAAGGGTCCTGTCGGTTCTCATTCTACTGCCAGAACAGCAAGCAGCCAATTTTTGCTAAGTGACTAGTCTAGCTGTTGACAACCATAGCTAATAAAACTGTTATGAAACTATATACATGTATACACATGTGCAAACACATACACTTTTCTCTCCCTCTTCCACCCTTTTTGGTTATTTGGAGTAGTAAGGATCACAAAATGACCATGCCTTCATATGTTATATTAAAAGCAAGACTCAGACCGGATCATATTAAAAGATGTCCCAGGAACAAAAGGGCAGTAGTACTGCTAATGGGAATTAAAGGATACTTGCAAAACTGAAGCTTCTGTGGTGTTGAAAACCACACTTCAGTCACATTCTAAATTTGTGATCATTACTTACATATGTACAGGCCCTCATGCTCTGCCCCCAGTCCACCAATTTGGTCACTGTGTCATTGATTGCCTCTACACAGGTCTTGTAAAGCCTCCACTGAAGCGATCTCGTTCTGCTCCTGATGGAGGGGATGAGGAGAACCAGGAACAACTTCAGGAACAAATATCTGAAGGAAGTTCTATTGATGAAGAAGAGAAAACTGATAATACAACATTGCTTCGACTACTTGAGGAAGGAGAGAAGGTACCATATGTTAGAAACACCAAACATTTACTGTGTTCACATTTCTACATCATGCTTATCACATTAGAAAGAGAATAATAAGCCTTCCTAAAAGACCTCTCCAACTCTGCCCTTTAATCTTTCCCAGAAAGTTGTCCCCCTCCCTCTCAATACCCTTTTAAAACAAGCAAGTCTTACAGTGTGCCTTAAGAGTTACTGGTGTGATCTTTGGCTCTAGTTCAGGGAGAGAAAGCAAGTTTCTGAGCTTAGGACGTCACACTTGAGAGGTTTTTGTCACTAACCCTTGCTAGTTTAAATGAAAGAGTTATTGGCTTAGGCCTTCCCAGTGTCTGCACCAGGCATGTTATTACACAAGAATAGAAATATCTGTAACTAATTCTAATCCACAAACCATCTTGGCCACGTCCAGATGAGTGCAGCTGTGTGACCACACATTCAACCTCTGTGGCCCACTTTCAGTTGTTCTCCACACTGTAAGGGAGCAGCATGGAGGGTTTTTTGAACCCCTGGATATCCAGGTGTCGAAAAAAAACCACGGAAAAAATGTGGAGTGGTGCATGCGGTGGCAGCGTGCGTCACCCAAAGCGGAGGCTGGATGGCAAGAGCTGCACTCTGCTGCAGGCCAGGCTCTGTGCAGCAGGATCGTTGCTGCTGCAGTCTTGGGAGGCCCCTAGGATCCCAGGTAAGACTACCCTACTCCACCTGGGGTAACATGTCGTGCACCAGAGCATGCATGGCACAGACGTTCCCTGGGGGCAACTAGCAGCAACACAAGGTGCACTGCTGCTAGTTATCCCTGGGGAACCAAACATCCACTCATGTCTGGACGTCACCAAGATTTTCTTTCACTTTTAACAACCGGCCTTTGCAAGAAAGTAGTGCTTATGCAGTAAGTTTGACTTGTCCTGCCTGTTGTCACCAAGGCAACAAAATTTAAGCTGCCTTTAGTAATGTGCATCAGGGAGTGTATGAGGTGGTATTTTCCTGCAGAATGCAGCTGCTGAACATTGCTTAACTTGCTTTGGTAAAGGAGGTGATAGTGTTCAATGGGAAAATGTGTTGATAATACTTGCGTAAAGTGTTAGCTCCACAATTGGAGCTTACTTTAAACCATCCTGTAAATCCAGTCAAATCTAGTTTATAAGATTTCTTGGTAAATTATGCAGCATACAAGAAGTCAAAATTCAGCATATCTCTATCACCCCCACAATTACTACACCCCACAACAGAACCTTAACATTCCTGGATCTTACACCTGCACCTCCAGATACGTAATATATCTCATCCAATGCGCCAAGTGCCATGATGGAAAATACTTAGGTGAGACCGAACAGCAACTGCACACCAGAATGAACGCACACTGGAAATCTATCAAAGACAAGAATATACAATTACTTGTGGGGCACATTTCTCACAAGAAAACCACTGTCTCTCAAATCTCTCAGTAATAATCCTCAAAGGGAATTTACAAAACACTTTTCACAGACGAGCCTATAAACTTCACTTCATCACCCTCCTGGATACAAAAAATCATGGACTAAATATAGACATTGGATTTATGACGCATTATAAACCTGCCTAACATCTGACTCCCCAGGTGCCTCTCCACTATTTATCAGCAACAGTCATTCCTTCCCCCCCCCCCCCCCCCCCCCCCAAATCCCCCACCCACTCACTCCTCAATTTACATCCTCACTGACTGGCTTTCTAGCACGCATACCAGCCTATGGCTTTACTATTCATTCCATCCAGAAAGAGCACACACCAACTGCAGATGCTTCCTCAGCCTGACGAAGGGTATTTATACCTGCAAGCTTGTTAAGAAGAATTTTTTCCAACTATTTGAATTGGTCTAATAAAAGATAGCAGGTTTACTCCAAGAGCGTTTTCTGCCTATGTCCCTAAACCAACACGGCTACAGCCTATATCTCTGTAGTTAATACTTCACTTTCTGCACAGCCTAGCCTTGATCAGTTTTCAAGCATTTATTGTACCTAGTTGGAACATTCAAAAAACTACAAAACAGTGGAATAGTGAATAGCAACAACACTTCATTAAGAATGTCCAATTTTCTGAATATTTTTACATTGGAGCTCTGCTAAGGAAAATCTCAGGCCTGTGCCACTCCCGTCCCTAATGCAGTACAGGCTAGGTTGTAAACACCTAGGCTAGCTACAGACGTTCAAAAAGCCCAAGGCAGAACCAAATTAAGTTACGTGCTTTTTTGTAAGCAGCATAGTTTAGATTGGTAGCAAACAGAGCACACATTCACTCTTTGGTGGGGGGGCTGGACAAATCTTAGACCGGGTTCTGCCATTTTTAAACCAGTCTGTATATGCCAAACGTCTGTTCTGTTATGGGTATAGACTGGTTTCCGATCACTTATATTGGTAAAAGTGAAATGTCTGTGCGTGGCCCTAGGGCAGCATTTGTATAATGCAGAGGTCAGCAAAACCTGTTTAACCCAGATAGTGTGTTTATTATTGAGGTAAATCCTGAGTATTTTGGTGATGGATACATAGGCCCCTGGTAGACATTGCATTTATTGTACAATAAAAAGTAACATGCCCACAGTTCAAACAATGTATTTCATGATAAGAAGAGTGAGCCTGCCTCAAAGTTATTGCTCATTGAATGTGGAACTCGTTTGCAGTAGGTTATGCCTCGGGCATTAATTTGAACATCTGGTATGTTATTTAGACTTTCTGCTATCCCACAGTGCTCTGCTCTTTCTCCTCCCTCTCTAAGTACATTGCTAAACTAAACTGAAGTGCATGCTCAAGTGCTTTTATGAATTGGTGTTTAAAGTCAAGCTGCAATCCATAATGCTTAATTCAGATTAATCTTGATATCCTTTTTCTTCATACCATCCTTCTGTAGTATGTTTCTAAAGGAAAAATTGGTACAGGGTGATCTGGACCAGTAGTTCTCAACCTTTTAGGCTCAAGGCACACCTTGATAGACTTGAGGCACTCTTCAGAAAATGCCAGCTCTTAGTTGTCACTTGTGTTTTTTTGACTACAGAAAAATAATAGAGCAGTTCTCCTGTTGCAAAGGACCCAGGTCATAGCAGTTCAGAATGCTTTTAACATTGGGGCTGCATCCAGACATGCAAGTACATGTGGTTTGCGGTGCTGCAAACCTCTTTGCGGTGCAACAAACTGCACGAGTTGCACATTAATCAGTGCATGGCATTGCTGATTTGCAGCGTTGGGGCAAAATTTGCTACTGGGATTTCCTGGTAGCAAAAAAAAAAACCCTGGAAAAACAGCACAGACAACAAAGTTGCGTTTTTGTCCCAGCACTCCCCGAGATGGGGCAGCAGGCAGCCCACAGTACGGGGGCTCCACAGCTCTGCATTTGTCTCGGCGCTCGCCACTGTTGTCTGCACGTTTTTCCAGATTTTTTGTTTTGTTTTTGCTACCAGGAAATCCCAGTGTGCTGCCGGCTCCCCTATCTCAAGACGCATTGAACCCCAGCCAGGTGGGGAGTAGCTGGCTGGGGCACAGTGTGCCTCAGTGCAGGAGCTCTGTAGCGTGCAGAGATGGGGCAGCCCTGGCTGTCTCCCTGCCTCTACATGCTGTTCCCTGGCTGGCCGTGGCACAGGGTGCCTCAGCATAAGGCATGGCTAGCCCCTGCTGAGGCTACAATGTGTCATGCTGCAAAGCACATGGGCCAGGGCATGCTGGGGGTCACAACTACCCTTCATTGGAGCTATATATAAATGGCCATCCTAAAACGTTTAGGTATCAGTATGAATTATGACACTTCATTGGGAAGAATATTTTGTTACACAGCAGAACCAATGGCAAGGTTTGTAGAGCACAAACCAGCATCATCACATTTCTTATGTCAACACAAGTTCAGGGTAGATTTGTAAATTTGAGATCTGTTAATAAGTATGGGTAGCAAACACTCTAGTTAAGTGTGACTAGGATTACGCTGCGGACAGAAGAGTCCTGCTGCAAGTCCTTGGGGGTTTTGACTGGATTTCTTTCCAAGAAATTTTGCGTTGACAAAATTCTTGTCTAATTAGCCTTTTGACCAGACCTGTTAGCTTAGTGGAGGAAGACTCTTCCAACTCTCAGAACCTCCTCAGGTCTGCAAAAAGAAAGAGGTCTGCCATTCCCATGAGAATGGAAAATATGCTGTTGTCAGCTGCCCTGTAGTCACTCTTATCCCAAGATAGTAAGTACCAAACAAAAACTAGCTTTATTACATAAGACAGAAAAAACATAAAGGGATAGTCAAGCTTGGAGACAGATACACAAAACAAAACTCTTATCCCAAGATACTCAGTAAGTCCTCTGTTTCCAGCTACTAGAAATCCTGCCAGCTTTCCCTAGACTTCACTAAATTGGCCCAGTAAAAGATGTCCACAAAAATCCTTGCCTCTTGCAGGTGTTGTTCTCTTTTGATATGCATCTGATGTACTTTCCTTTTAAATGCATTTGGCCTTTATTTAATATGCATCCTATTCCAGGTGAACATTCTAGAGGTTTGCTTCCTTCCAGTCTGACAGGTATACAGGCCACAGCCTTTCTGATGTGGAAATAGTCATTGTCTAGTGCAGTAGTTCTCAAACTTTTTAGGTTCAAGGAACACTTAAGCTTAGTTCAAAGGCTCCTTGTGAAAGAAAATATTTGTATCCAGTTCTGCGTTAGACCATTGTCTGGAGAGAAAGAAGGGGGGGAAAAGCTTTATACTTTTTAGAAAGTTAAATTATCTGTATGTGTATCACAAGAAAGTCTGATCTGTACAAGTTGGAACTTTCTGTTCTTCATTCCAAAAATGGACAGGCAGAAGGCAGGGCATGATGAATATTAATGTAACAAAAGTTATACGATCGGGGGAGATGGGAGGAAAGAGTAGCCCTTAACACATTACTGTACTTAGTACGGTAAACATGGGGGAGAAATAAGCTTTGTCTTGGAGCTGAGAACCAGCGCTCTGGTCCTGACCTGGGCTCCTGGGGCTGCTGCAGCTTGGAGCCAACAGCAATATGATGAGTGCCTGTCAGGCCAGGGCTAGGGCCTGGGATATAGGGCAACAGCAAGAGCTGGGGATTCGAAAATGTATCATTTCAATGTAAGGAATCTAATTATTGGTGGGTCTTTTTAAATGTGAAGTCACCTTGGATTTGGGTAAATAAGATATATTGAGTCCTTGCTATACAGAGGACCTGTTTAGAGGACCTGATATATTTTTGTAGAAATGGAGTGACTTCATTTCTGGACATCTTTTTTTAAGTAAAAATAACATATTTATATAGCTTTTTAGCATGACTTATTGTAGGACAAATAATCTGATCAACATACTTATTATCCATTGTGTACTGTTCAACTTGAGGGATATAGTGAACAAAAACTGAAATTGTGATTCTATGGTTCTTTTATAAGTAGTTATACATTTTTAAGTGAATGTCACCCACAACATAGAGTGGGTGGAATTAAAATGGTACATCTAACTAAGCTGGAGCAGCATCTTTAGCTTTCACAGTCAGTGTTTGAAGCTCTGGTTAAACATGGGGGTGGTGGATGAGAGAGGGAAGGTAGGGTTTTGCAGGCTTTCCATGTACTACTTCATTAAGACTGTGGCTTTCCAGCTCTTGAGTAAGTACAGTGCCCTCTGTTGCCTTTTACGGAAATGACAAGTTGGTTATGTATTTTTAATGACAAAATTGGAAATCTACTCTTCCCTTTTAAACAGCTTTTTGTTGGTTATCATTTGAACAAGGAGTATACTATTCTTTTAGCTGATATTAGTGACCAGCTGCACCTGCATTGGTAAATATTCCTTCTACTTTTGAATGCCTGTATTTATCTTACTGCAGTCCAAATGCAAGAGGAAGAAAAAAGAATATATTTGTACAAAATTATATATATATATATATATATATATACACACACTCTCTAAATCTCTTTTTATACAGAGAATGTTTCTAGGTCTTTAATCTTATGTTTCTTTGTATACGTTTTTTATTAGTGAAATAAGTAGTACAAAATCGGCATGCCTACAAGTAAGGAAAAAATTGTAAGGGAGAATAAAATCTATCTTCCAACAAGGCAATAGTCTCAACCTCTGTCAAGATAATGAAGCTGCTATTGATAAGCATATGGTTTTTGGTTACAGATTCAGCACATGTACCGCTGTGCTAGAGTTCAAGGCCTTGACACCAGTGAGGGGCTGCTTCTCTTTGGAAAAGAGCACTTCTATGTCATCGATGGATTTACAATGACAGTCACCAGGGAGATACGGGATATTGAAACACTGCCTCCAAAGTGAGTAGATTAATGAAGAGTCACAAACAGTTTAGCAGTCTCGAGTGCTGGATAAGAAATACTTTATGTAAGTGTAAAGACTAGAACTATTATGTCAAGCTTAGGAAGGCACAGGAATTGAGCCTACCTCCATTCTTATGGCTTGATAAACCCAGAATTCTACACAAACCTGTGTAATTCCAAAATTTGTTTTCTTCAGAACACTGATATCATGGTCACGATTTTGGCAAAATATTATGATAACTTTTGAGGAAACATTTTAGACTCTTCCATTCATGCAGTAGAGAGGGTTTTACTTTGTATCTTGAGCCTTGCCTTGATTTAACAAACAGTCTTTATTTATTGGTGACATAATATTCACCTTTTTTTGGTTACTTACAGCATGCATGAGCCAATTATACCAAGGGGAGCAAGACAGGGTCCAAGCCAACTCAAAAGAACTTGCAGCATTTTTGCATATGAAGATATCAAGGAAGTACATAAAAGGAGATATCTGTTACAGGTAACTTGTTTTATTTGGGATGAGAAGCAGGTGGAGAGATTTTAGCCACAGTCCCACTATAATTTGCAGAAAAAGAGCCATCTTAAAAAAACAGAAACTTTCATTTCTGCAAGTGTACTCGGTCCTTTAGAGAATGAGGCTACTTAGTGCACCAAAATATGTATTGAGATGCTCAACATTAGACATCCAAGTTTGAAAAGTTTAGCCCCTCTGTATTGGAGGAAAGTGAATTTAATTGTTCTGGAGGTAGACTAACAGTGTTGGGTGGGGGCATTTTTAAGGTGCATTTGTCATCAGCATTTTGCTATGGCTAAACTGATGTCAACTGTGAATGAAGACATTTCTGAATTTAAAAGGACAGGCTAGTGCATTTCTCTCTCTCTCTCTCTCTCTCTCTCTCTCTCTCTATTTTATTTTATTTTATTTTATTTTATTTTATTTATTTTTAACAACATCTCTATAATAAGATTTTTCTCCCATCTTCTGCCCACCCTCCGCCCCAGCCGATTGCTGTTGAAGTTTTCTCAGGAGATGGAAGGAACTATCTTCTTGCTTTCCAAAAAGGAGTTAGAAATAAAGTCTATCAAAGGTATTGCAAGATGACTTGAATTGCTGTGATGTAAGCTGAATGTCATTGTTAGCGTGGGTGTTAAAAATACATGTTTGGGCCATATTTCAAATCAGTTCCTGATAGACATATTAAAATTAGTATAAGTTCCATGGAAAGGCTTCCATGCTGCACTATAATACAAATGGAATATATCTTTATACAACATATAGCAAAGCCTGAAAATACTATGTTTTGGACACTGGAAGGAAATTGTGCTAGTTAATTAATCCATCTTAATTGACAGTAGCCCTTGATTCATATGAGCTGATTTTCTTGTATGACACCTAATATATTGCAGGCATGAGGTCATTGGCACTACTTAAATATAGTCAATGAGGTTTGCTACAAATCTTATACATAGTACACGTAGCATAGGTATACCTGTAATGTTCCGCAGGTATTTTTTCAGTGTTGGCTGAAGGCCTTCTCTGTTATAAGTGAAAAGCCTGGGTTTGGATCATTCTCAAGTGGTGTGGGTATGTTCCATGGATTGTATTTTCGAGGTGTAAGATGACAAGAGATTTTATAGCCCAGAGGGATCCACCAAACCCTTAGTGAAGGCAGCTGTGTGTACAAGTAAAGTTAGAGTTTGTCCGTGGATATAGGTTTAAAAAGTGAGATTTCAAGAGTAAGCAAAAGTCCCTGGGCTACCTAGATACCCTAAGTCCATGACTAATGAAAGCAACCATTTCTTAGCAAAGGCAGTTCATGGTTGGATGAAAACTTGAGTATTCATCCTTTTCTGTTTCTAAAATCTTCCCATCTTAAAAAGTAAAGTAGCTTTAGTAAGTTTTTAGTCAGTAGTAGAGAGCTAACCCACCCCTCTGCTCCCATCACATTTCTAGAGTAGAAAGCAAATGCTCTGTCCACTAGAATTTCCCAGTAAATACAAATAGATACATTTTGCAACAATGATTCAATTTCCCTTAATTCATCTGTTTGGCTTCTCAGCAGCCCAGTCGTCCACGTCTTCCAAACTCACAAATTCTAGGTAGCTTTGGGTTCCTAGGGCTGCTTGCCAGGCTAAAACTAAAACTCTGTTTTGCAGATAATTTCAAACTGATTGGCTTCACAATGAAATATGATTTCAAAATACCAAAATCCTCCACAAATGGAATATATTTCCTCCTCACACATTTTGTAGGCAATCTCGCATCTTATTCTGACACTGGCAGAATAATTTAGGAAAAAAGTAGAGTCTGACTATTTGGACAGGGTATTGTACTTGACAGCAGTTCAGCAGCATGAGTTTCCAGCTTAAACGATTATCCATTTTTTCCTCTGACCTTACTCTCCCATAACTTCACTTTTTAGTCTGTAGACATAGGAGGCAATTCAGACTTTATCCAGTGGGCTTTGAAACTTGGCCACTTGCCTTCCTCCTCATGTAATGTTCTATGGCTGTTAGCAGTTCAAACAGAGCAACAATTCAGTGCTCCACTCTTAAGGCTGTTTGTAGTAGCCACTAGCATAGATTCATAGATTTGTTAGGGGCTGGAAGGGACCTTGCAGATCATCAGGTCCAGCCCCCCTGCTCTAGGCAGGAAGACAACTGGGGTTAGGTGACTCCAGCAAAGTGACTGTCTAGTCTCCTCTTGAAAACCTCCAGGGTAGGTGACTGCACCACCTCTGGAGGGAGTTTATTCCAGTCTGGACACCCTGACTGTAAAGGAGGTTTTCCTGGTATTAAGTCTGAAGCGGCCTTCCAGGAGTTTGTATCCGTTGGTCCTGGTCTTCTCCAGGGGTGCCCTAGTGAACAGTTGTTTACTGAGCTCCTGATGCACTCCTCTGATATAGTGGAGAGCTGCTATCAAGTCCCCTCTCAACCTTCTCTTCTTTAAGCTAAAGAGGCCCAGGTCCCTTATCCTTTCCTCGTATGGCTTGCCTTGCATATCCCTGATCATACCGGTGGCTCTTTTCTAGACCCTCAAGTTTTTCCATGTCCTTATTAAAGTGCAGCACCCAGAACTGGATGCAGTACTCCAGCTGTGGTCTCACCAGTGCTGAGTAAAGCAGGAGGATCACTTCCTTATTTTTACACAAGATGCACTGGTTGATGCATGCCAGCATGTTGTTTGCCCTGCTGACCACCACCTCTCAGTGATGGATTATATTCATACAATAGTTAATCATTACCCCTAGGTCCCTTTTGGCCATGGTGTGAGTCAGGCTGTCACCACCGAGCCTGTATGTATGTTGAGGGTTGTTTGTCCCCAGATGGAGCACCTTACACTTGGAAGTGTTAAACTTCATTTGGTTCCAGTCTGCCCAACTCCCGAGCCTGTCGAGGTCCGCATGTATCTGCAACCCATCTTCTGGCTTGACCACACTGCCCCGTAACTTGGTGTTGTCTGCAAACTTGGGCAGCAAGCTTTTCACTTCCTAACCAAGTCATTGATAAAGATATTGAAAAGCACCTGTCCAAGCATGGACCCTGAGGGACACCACTGGCCACTTTGTGCCAGGATGACACAGATCTGTTCATGAGAACCCTCTGGGTCCTACCCTGTAGTCAACTTCTCACCCACTGAACCGTTGATCCGCTGAGCCCACAATCTTCCAGTTTTCCCACAAGGATATTGTGGGATACTACATCAAAAGCCGTTTGGAAGTTTAAGTATATAACGTCTACCACATCTCCTGTGTGCAGGTGACAAGAGACCTGGTCACAGAAGGAGATGAGATTGGTAAGACAAGACCTACCCACGACAAAGCCATGCTGGCTGTCATTCACAATCTTACCTTCTGCAAGTGTATCACACATAGTTTCTTTAATGAGCTTTTCCAGGTTTTTCCTTGGTATGGAGGTTGGGCGGATTGGCCTATAGTTGCCTGGGTTCTCCCTCTTCCCGTTCTTGAAGATGGGCACAGTGTTGGCCTTCTTCCAGTCCTCGGGGATTTTCCCTGTGCACCATGAATTCTGAAAGAGTTTTGCCAGGGGTTCCATGATGACCTCAGCCAGCTCCTTTAGTACTCTTGGATGGAGTCCATCCAGTCCTGCTGACTTATAAATGTCTAGTTTTTCTAATTGGTATTGCACCCAATCAGCATCCATAGTGGGGAGGCTGTCATATAAGGCATGTCCCCTATGAGCCTTATCTAGCTTGACTTCCCCATGGTCTGGTGAAATACTGAAGCAAAGTAGGCATTCAGGAGTTCAGTTTTTTCCTGAATGTCAGTTACCAGCTGTCCTGAGATGTTAAGCAGGGGCCCACACTTCTCTTTGTTTTCCTTCTACTGCCTACATATCTAAAGAAGGACTTCTTATTGTCCTTGACTCCTGTAGCTAACCTAAACTCTGTCACTGCCTTGGCTTTCCTGATCATTTCCCTATGAGTATTGTGCTTTCAGTGTGCGTAAACCTCTTTTTTCTTTTTTAAGAGGACTGCAATGTCCCTATTAAATGGCAGCCCTTCTGCTGCCGTTCCTCTTTGCAGGAACGGTTTTCTTTTGTGCTTTGAGACTTGTATCCTTGAGCAGCAACCCCATTTGCCTTGCCTTCCTGGTCCTACATTGCCTCCCCTACTAATGCTCTGACCCTGTCAAAGTCAGCATTTTTGAAATCCAGGACTTCAATCCTGCTGGTTAATTTATTGACCTTGCAGCAGACAGTGAACTTGATAATTTCATGGTCGCTGTCACCCAGGTTACCCTCAGTGTTCAAGTCACACACCACATCATCTCCCTTGGCCATGACCAAGTCTAGGAGAGCGTTACCTCTGGTTGGCCCTTGCACTTCCTGGGTCAGGAAGAGCTCCTCGATCACAGTCAGGAAACTGCATGAACAATCTGACCTAGCCAAGTGTTCCTCCCAATCTATGTCCAGGTCATTGAAGTCACCCGTGACAACCAAGCCCCCTGTCAGTTCTCAAGCAAAATTCTTCATAATGCTCAGCTTGTTCCCCTTGAACAGGGCTACTGCTGAACTTCACCTTTATCTCTTCTCTCTGTGTCACTATCGCAGAAGGGCAAGATGTTCTTCAACTGTGACAGCCATCGTAGGAGCCATGGAAGGGCCTTCTTACACAACTGCCCTAGTCCACAGACTAGCAGCCTAACCAATGACACATTCAGGCCGCTCCAATCCCCTGCAACAAAAATCCTTAAGGGACATTCCCACAGGGGCACAGGGCCTATCCATTTTAGAGTCCTAGAGACAGATTCTCCTCGCTTTGGGGTCTTGTCCGTATGTTTTGTTAATCCACCCTCATCAGTCAAAAAAAGCGAAAACTTACAGTATTTGTCCATGTTTAAGTGGATATAATCACTTCCTGGGAAGACATCCTTGCCTTGTTTCTGTAAGATGATGATGTTTACCTGCACAATAGGTGAACAGGTTGCTCCCGCATATTATTCGAAGTAAGAAAAAATAGGAGGAAGAGGTCAGGCAAGACTCAACCTCTAAGGGATCTATGCAGGTCAGTAAAGAAAATGAAGTTCAGGAGGGAGGATCCAGGTTCTACTGCCCCTGATTTCTCCATAAGACCTCCAGTGTTGGTAGATCTGGCAGAAGCTCATCTCTGTGTTCCAGTCAGGTTCTGTTAATCATGTTGCCAGGTCCCCCGAAGAAATCGCCACTATAAATACAAAGTGTTACATTTCAGTATGTTCTCTGACTCTTGGGTATTCACAAACCATTGATAGCGATAATGGTTCAATTGAGAAGTTCAGGGCCTCATTTCTGACAGTTTTTAAGTAATATACTCATCAGAACATCGTCTCTAGGGAGCCCCTCCCCTCCTCCCCCCTCCATGCTTGATGGAGACAAGCTAATGATAAATCTGAGCTTCAAATCAAGAGAAAGTTTGGTCCCAGATAAATCAGGTAACAAATGTCTGATGGAAAGCCCAAGAACCAACAGGAGATACTGCATATGTGGTAATGCTACATGTGTTAAACATGAGATTTAAATATCTGACATTTATTCATGAAGATTAAAGGGGGTGGGAGGGCTTGTGTTAGTTCTTTAAAGAGCTTACATGTTTGCTTGGTAACAAGTTGCCACTTGTGCTTAATTTTTGTTACAGTTTCTCTCAAAAGCGTGCAGGGAACAGAAACGTAACTTTATTCTCCTTCTATTAATGATACAGGTTTTTGGCTGTGGTCCCATCTTTAACTGACAGTTCAGAATCTGTGTCCGGGCAGAGACCAAACACCAGTGTAGAACAAGGGTAAGTGGTTCTTTTCATCAAAATGTATTGCTCACACTGTCAAAGGATAAGGTGTATGTTAAAGTATCTCTAGATCAATTCATTTCCTCAGTGCAAAACTATACCTCCTTAAGTCTGCAAGAGAATTGAAATTGCTAGTTATGAGCTGATCTTCATAAAACCTAAGAAAAGTGAAAACTTCTGTTCCCTCTTTTGATAAATGAACATTTGTTAATTTATCTGAACTTCTGTTCATTTATCAAAGGACTTCAAGAAGGCCTTTCACTTGGTCTCCCATGATGTCCTCACGACCAAGCTGGGGCACTGTGACCTTGACCAGTTCACGGTCTGCTGGCTGGGGAACTGGCTCTGGGATCGGGAACAAATCAGTGTGGCACAAGGTTACCTGTGGAGTCCCCCGAGGCTCAGTGCTCAGGCCGGTAGTCTTCAATATCTTCACTAATCTGGAATTGGGCATCAGATGCGGACTGGCAAAGTTCGCAGACAACGCTAAACTATGGGAGAAGGTGGTCATGCTGGAGGACAGGCTGGGGATACAGGCCATCCTGGATACACTGCAAAGTGGGCAGACCAAAACCTGATGGCATTCAACATAGAGAAATGCAGGGTACTCCACCTTGGGAGAAAAAAACCAGCGTCATACTTATAGGTTCAGCTGTGCTGCACTCGCTAGCACTGTGACTGAGGGAGACTTGAGGGTCTTGACTGACCACAAGATGAACATGAGCCACCAATGCAATGCCATGGCCAACAAAGCAAACCAAATTCTGGCATGCATCCACCGATGCATCTCAAGCAAAACCAGGGACGTCATCCTCACACTGTACTCGGCCTTTGTGAGGCCGCAGCTGGAGTACTGCGTCTAGTTTTGGGCCCTCCACTTCAGGAGGGATGTGGATAAGCTTGAGAGAGTCCAGAGGAGAGCCACACGACTAATCAAAGGCCAAGAGAGCAAGCCTTACGAGGAGAGGCTGAGGGACATGAAACTCTTCAGCCTGGGGAGGAGAAGGCTCAGGTAGGACTTGGTGGTTGCCTATAAGTATATAAGTACATCAGGATCTGGGAGAACAGTTGTTCACCAGGGCTCCCCAAGGGATAACTAGGTCTAATGGCCACAAACTTCTAGAAGGCCAATTCAGACTCAATATAAGGAAACACTTCTTTACAGTCGGAGTGTCCAAGGTCTGGAACAGACTCCTCCCAGAGGTGTTGCAAGCACCTACTCTGGATTCATTCAAAAGGCACTTGGATGTTTATCTTGCTGGGGATCATTTGATCCCTGCAGACTTCCTGCCTCTGGCAGGGGGGCTGAACTCGATCTCATGAGGTCCCTTCCAGCCCCTAATGTCTGTGAAATCTATGAACTCCAGTTATCCTTAATTTAAAATACTGTTGACATGCTGCCTATTTAAGTACAAAAGTAATACATCCTATATGAACTAATGTTATCACCAAATTATTTAATTGCAGGTCAGAATGGAGAAATTATTCTAATCATAATGCTTAAAGTTTGGCTATTATCTTAGTGCCGATATATTATTGCTCAAGAGGAAAATACTGACCGACACATCCTTCTTCCCATTAGGTCTGGCTTGCTTAGCACTTTGGTAGGAGAAAAATCTGTGACGCAAAGATGGGAAGTAAGTATGAGAATTTTGTTGCTTGTGTGTGTTGTGGGAGCATCCAAAATTATTTGTATATAGTGAAAGGGTGTTTAAATAAAATGTACTGTCATGTTCAGCAATTTAGAAAATATTCTATGGCATAACGTTCATCTTGGCAGCAAATTGCTTTTCAAGATTTTCTGTTTCGTCCAGAATACATTAGAACACAAGACTTCCGCTATTAAAAATGAGAGACAAAAGAGTACAGTGAGCTTCAGAGATAAGACTAATATTTATATTAATCTGACATGTAATGATTTGCATCTGGTTAGTAAAGGTCTGCCAGTTTAAATGTTTGAATATTCTAAAGTAAACCAAAACACTATTATTTATTCTTCTTAAGAGAGGAGAAATCAGTAACTTCCAGTACCTGATGCACTTGAATACTCTGGCTGGCAGATCCTATAACGATCTCATGCAGTATCCCGTCTTCCCTTGGATCCTTGCAGACTATGATTCAGAGGTAAATATAACATCCTGTCTATGTAAAGCTAAGGTTGTATTTGTTCATTTTGAAGGTTTGATAATGTTACAGCTGGTTTACATTTCCACAGTGAAGCTAAGGCCTTTCCAGTTTTCCAAATGATTGATTTCAGTTTCTAATGCTATGATATATATATCCTTCCACTCTGTGGGCTACTTAAGGCTCAAGTTCTACAGTGAGACCTGTGCAGGCTCATTCTTATACCTGTGCAAAACTGCTGAAGTTTCCGGGGATCTGCCCCTGCCCATACAGAACTGGTTGGGAATATTAGACCATGGTCTTGCATGGCAACCTTATTATTAATACAGACATGAAAGCAGTAATGCCTTGTATTTGTTTCTTATAAATCTTTGCATTATTTCCCCAAAATGGTTCCCAGTGAATGTTAGGCCATAAACACTTTTATTTGGGACATGTCAAGGCTGTCAGGATCCTTGGCCCCAAGCTTGTGAATGTGATGGATTTGATTTTTGTAAATGGAAATGGTATTGTTAGTGTTAGCCTGAGCATTACCTCCTGGCAGCCATTCTGTGCAATAGATTGCATAGGTTGGCAGCTGAAGAATGGAGATAAGGAGCTGTCATGATGACTTGCAGCTGAGGGTACTTTTGTAGGAAATGAGGCAAAATGCCTATCGCTTGCCAGCATATCATAAAAGGCATCCTCTTAAATCAGACTGAATTAAAAAAAAAAAAAAAAAAAAAAAAGAAGCCCTACTAATTGGCTGATCTGAATAATTCCTGTTGCTTTCAAAATTAGACCTGGGAAGAAAATCGATACCATGTCACCCATAAGAATGTTCCCACTGGTGCTTAGTGCTTTTACAAATGTGTCTGGGTTTTTATTTTTAAAGGAACTGGATCTTACGAATCCAAAGACATTCAGAAACCTGGCCAAACCAATGGGAGCACAGACAGATGAAAGACTGGCTCAGTATAAGAAGAGATACAAAGACTGGGAAGATCCTAATGGTAAGTGACTATACAAGTGCAGAACTTGGAGAGCACAGGTGACTGGGTTTACTTCTCTTCCTACAAGACCTCCCTTCAGACCTTTTGCACAGATGTATACCAAACCCTATAGGCGCGTCCAGACAAGCGCGCACGTGCCTCTTGCAGTGTCTCAAACCCCTTTGATATGCTATAAGAGGCAGGTGCAGGAGCCAAAAAATGTTCCCCATGCTGCAAATTTGCAGCACAGGGGCAAAATTAGACCCCTGGATATCTAGGGGCCAAACAATAGCTCGGGGGGAAAAAACGGGGCAGGGCACAGTCCCAGATTGTGCATTGGGGCAACCGGAGGCTCGGTCTGCCAGAGCGTCTCTATGGCTGACCCTTGCCCTACTGCTGAAGCATGCTGCTTGCCCATGCAGGGCAGGGAGCAGTGCAAGCTGCAGGGACCTGGACCCAGCTTGCCAGGTAAGTAGAGGGTTGAGGGCTGGAGGAGATTTTTTTCAGAAATTCACACTGAATCGAATCAGTGACCAGAGCTTCTCACTGCCCTGCTGGCCACAGGCTCTAGCTCCCGCTGGCTGCAGATCCGGGAGAAGCCAGGCAGGGTTATTTTGCCCCAAGTGGCACAATTTACTCCACAACAAAGTGCATGTCCGGGCACGTGCACTGAGGCAAAAAGCCCCCAGCTCAAATTTGCATCGCTTCTATTTGAGCTGCTGCAAGCGCATGTGCTTGCATGTGTGGATGTGCCCTATGAGGAGAACACAAAGGGTGGAATGAGTCATATCAGTGCACATTTTTAAAAGAAGCAAGGCCCCCACTGAGGAATGCCCCTCGCATAGAAGGGCTCCTGACAGGCAGTACTGGCATATAATCCTCCTGGCATCTTCCGCCCAGGGTATCCCTGGCATGGGAGGATGTCAAAGGCTTGGTTATCTCTGGGCCCCAGCTGTTGTCTGGTATGCACTGCCATATAGGAACCATCACAGCTATAGCCCCAAGTTAAGGTTTCTGTAACTTGTTGCTGCTGTAATGTGAGGCCAGCCCATCTGCCCCAAGACTGGAAGGTATAATCCTCTCCCTCTTTAGGTGCCTATACCCATGCACATGTATCACTTCCCCACTGGGTTTCTATGGTATTTGTATAACAATGTTAAAAAGATGGTACTTGAAAAGAGAAACATGAGTCAGTCCATCAAGGATATGGAGAATACTACATTAAGAAACCCTGGTTGCTGCCAAAAATAATAAAATATAGTAGAGTAAAATATAGCATTTGAAAAAAACCCTTTTCATAATGTAAAGCACCGTTAAAAATGGACCACCTACTTACCCTCCTGTTCGCAATCACATAATCCCTGTGTAAAACTATGACACTTGCTTGAAAGGAAAAACATATTAGGAAAGCGGTATATTTTGAGCAGTTTTAATGTAATCTGCAAATGAAATTTCATCACATGACTAGCCTGTTCTTCGAAGAGTGTAGTTTGAGATCTGCTGAAATAAAATCAAGAATACTGAGAAATAGAAAACATTATTTCTGTAGACTTTTCTCCAGCCTTTTCCTTCCACTTCCCAGCGTATATATTTAAGTAATCACCATATCTTTCATCTGAACAGCACAATAAATGTGGTAAAAAAAAATCTGTCATATTATATAAAATGTAACAATTGATTAATGGGATTAAACAACAGAAAAGAAATTATTCAATGCTAAGAGCGGAGTCTGTGCATGAGCCAAAGCTTCTGTGAGGCAACATGCTTTCACAATTATATGCTTTTACCATATGGCCCAAGGCTTCAAATGCATGTTTACCTGTCATGTTAGTAGGTCACTGAAGTTTTAAAACTGTTGCTGTAAAATTATTGTGCTGCCTGACACCAGCAAGTGGCAAAGAATTGCACCCTTCAACATCCCACCACAGTTATATGAATATATTTATACAGATGGTTACTTGTTTTAGACAGTTTTAATGAACTAAAGTCTCTCCAAAACGTGTAGTCAACAGTTCTGAGAAATATTTGAGCCCAAGTCTTCCATTACAGAAGAGGTTAAAAGTGAAAATGCTCCTTCAGCAAAAGTCTGTTTTGGAATGTTTCAGTAGTAATTATTAAATGTATTGCTGGGCAAAAGACTACTGAGTGATAAGGAGTGGATTGCTGCCAAAAATTTAAGTAGCTGCAATTTCAATTCATAAAGTTTGAATAGTTCCACAAATGTGAAAGCTATTAGGACCAACTGCAGATGTGTTCAGAGCGAACCGCTTATTCCTGCCTGCCACCTCTTAAACTTATTACATTTTTAATTTAGTACAGATTTTACTATGAACATTTCCTCTTTATTTCCTCTTCATTTATGACTTGTGCCTTTCTTCAACAGGAGAAACTCCAGCATATCATTATGGGACTCATTATTCATCTGCCATGATAGTGGCTTCTTATCTTGTCCGAATGGAGCCCTTTACACAGATATTCTTAAGGTTACAGGTATATTATAAAACTTATTTTTTCCTTGTTTCTTGCCTGTTTTAAATTTGAAATTTAAGTAGAAATGTGATTAATCAAGTAACTTTATTCTCACCGTTCTTGTCAGAGGAAAAAAAAACTATAGTTGCATAATATTCTTGATGATCATTATTAGTGTTCCAGAAAAGCAGAGCTGTTATGGGCAGGATATGCCGTTCCTCAAATTGAAAACAAGCATCTCAAAAATGTCTGTGGCACCAATCCTCAGCAGACACAAAACATCTTTTTATAGTGAACTGGTGTCCCAAAGTCTGCTTTGTTCATCTGTTGATGATAGTATGTATCAGCTTCTCTGTGATTTTTCAAGTGTTGAAGGATTAATCTGTTCAACTGATGTGTCGGTTAAAGAGCTAATTTAGTATTAAGTGTAATATTAACCAAACATTTCTGTAGTCTGGAATTTTTTGACAGCTTGAGAATTAATTGGGTTCACAGTGCTAAATTTTAAATATTGTCTTAGCTGGAAGCCATTGAGCGAGGACATTTATTTTCTTTGAGACAGCATTTCAACCAAAAAAACGAATATTTGGAATAGGGCTAGAATACTGTTCTTTAAAAAGTCCCGTCAATATATGTTTCAATGCTTTCTATTCCTCATTGTTACAAAAAAACATTTTTTTTTAATTAGAAGCCACTTCTAGAGGAAGGCATAGCTTAAAAGCCCCTTTTGTTGAAGAAAGAATTGTGTTTACCATTTCAATAATAAAATGAAATGGCTAATCAGTTTCCACTATGCTTTTATAGATCTTGGCCAAATGTGCTATGCTGAGAGACGTTCTAATATAAAGATGCTTCTCATTTCATTCCACAGGGTGGCCACTTTGACCTGGCTGATAGAATGTTTCACAGTGTGCGTGAAGCCTGGTATTCAGCATCAAAGCACAACATGGCAGATGTAAAGGAGCTCATCCCAGAATTCTTTTACCTCCCGGAGTTCCTGCTCAATTCCAATAACTTTGATCTGGGTAGGCAAAAGCAGCTGATAGTATTTTACTGTGGATGTGAAAACAGTACAAGTCAGTCAGACATAAAAATTTAGTGAAATGTGCGTAACGATTTATTTTACAGCGCAAAAAATGGCAACTGGCTAACAAGAACTAATACCTAATTGTTTTTATTATTATTATTATTGGAGTTTGTATGCCCCAGTGCTGTATATTTATGCCATACTGTATAGGAAAACCTGAATGGTTCAGGATACAGGAACTGTAGTTCCACAATAAGCTTAAACCTTTTGATGGTTTTCTTTTAGAAGACTAAAGCGAGACTCTGAAACGCTGAATACTCATTTTAAACAGCTTAAGTAGAAACTGCATTTCCAAAGGAAGCATTTTGTTTAAAACTGATTCTAACATTCAGTAAATTATGCTTTAATAGAATTTCTATAAAGTATATTTTTATTTTTTGCCACATAATCAATCATTGTTCAACAGCTGTTTCAGCAGTAGAGCCTATTGTCTACACATGCTGTGTCTTCTTTTTTCAGCCTTGTATATGCATTTGACTGTGTTGACTTTTAGAAATAATTTTATAAAATTTATCTGAAGATTTTATTCAGTGATGGCCATTAATCTTCCACTATTTTTTTTTTTTTTTTATTCAGCTGCAGTAAAATAGAACTAAACGGTTGGTGGGTTTGTCTCTGAAAGAGAAAACTGGCATAAGTGTTAAGTTGCAACAGCTTGATATTGGTCACTACAGCATTGAATCATCTTTTTTTTCCTGGAACTTATGTGGCAAACTAAATAGTAATAGCAGAGCTGACAAATCCTCCTACCTTTTTAAAAATATCAAACTGGCTGAAGCAAAAAAACCCTTTGTTCAGGCTTCCAGGCTCTTGGGAAATTCTCCAATCCCAAATTCATGCACAGAAACGTAGTAACTGTTATATCTGTCTAGATGTATGGTCCTTTTAGTTTGACAGTAGCCAGTTCCCAACGCTTTGCAAGTAGGCTTAAGGAACTCTAATAGAGTAATCATTGTCAGAGTTCCTTTTTAACCTCTATTGAAGGTTAGCTTATGCTCTGAAAGTCTTGTTTGTATCCTTTTATATCGTCTTTGTAATAAAATTAAAACCCCAGTCAGAAAAAGATTAAAAGATCCAGTTCTGTAAACTTAATTGATGTTTAATAGCACCTACAACCCCGTGAACTCAGGATAGGGTTTTGTAGCACTTCTTGAATTAAGCAAGGTGGTGGTGGGGTGTCAGAATCAAGCCTGTGGGGTAACTGTTCAGTTACTCTCACAGGCAACTCCATATCTGTAAATATATACCAGGATATGCTACACTACCCTACTTACTCAATTCCAAGGCAAGTTGCCCCCCATTCATTATGGGGAAAACAAAGCCTCATCTTAGAACCAAGTATTGGTATAATTGTCTTTTTGGTAAAGGCTCTTGAAAAATCAGTCCTATAAACAATGAGCCACTGCAACTGTTGGAGGTGGGGGGCTATTTTTTTGTTTTTGTTTTTTATTGTGGCAGTGGTGGTGGTGAGACACTGTGCATTTCTAAATTTAAAAAGTTCAATGTATTTTGTAGGTTGCAAGCAAAATGGCACCAAGCTTGGAGATGTGATACTGCCCCCATGGGCAAAGGGAGATCCTCGTGAATTTATCAGAGTTCATCGTGAGGTAATGGTCGTTTTAACAGCAGCTACGTAAAGCTTATTTGGACTTAAACCCAAATCTAGCAAATTCAATGTGATCTACATGCAGTCCTTTTATAATGACCTTTCCGTTTGCCTGTGAGAGAGACCTTGTGGTTTCCATGGGCTGTCAAACAAGTGGCTGCTTCTCCCTGGTAACTGTAGGCTGAAGCAGCAACGGAGGGAGCATTTGTGCCACTTTTCACTTAGAGGTCACCTATATTCTGTGATTTTTATCCACCAGTCGGATAATAGATTCAGTTAGTAACTGACCTGCTCACTTTTAATGTATGTATCTGAATTACAGGCTTTGGAATGTGATTTTGTGAGTGCCCACCTGCATGAATGGATTGACTTAATCTTTGGGTATAAACAGCAAGGCCCTGCTGCAGTAGAAGCTGTAAATGTCTTCCATCATCTCTTTTATGAGGGGCAAGTGGACATATACAACATAAATGACCCATTAAAAGAGACAGCTACAATAGGATTCATTAATAATTTCGGGCAGATACCCAAACAGGTAAGAATGTTCTTTAACGTATTGCAGCTATTTGCCACATGTCCAGATCCAAGTGTTTTGACTGGAACTGCCATCTTGCATCAAAATTTTTAAGGTACTTAATACACGTCTGTTCATTTGCCTGTGGCATTGAATGGTGCCTTTGGGATTCATAAGTTTATTTCTACAAGTGAGATGACTAGCTCTGTGGATGCAGGGAGAGCAGTGAACACGATGTACCTTGATTTTTAGCAAGACTTGATACAGTCTCACAACATTCTTGCAAGCGAGCTAAGGAATTTGGGTTGAGTGAGTGGACTCAAACCGGCTAAATTGTCAGGCTCAAAGGGTATTAATCAATAGTTCAATGTCTGGTTGGCAGCCACTATCAAGTAAAGGCCCCCTGTGGCTGGTTTTGTTCAATATCTTTCATCAGTGACCTGGAAGATGGGGTGGATTGCACCCTCAGCAAGTTTGCAGATGACACCAAGCTCTGGTGAATAGTAGGTATGTTGGAGGGTAGGGCTAGGATTCAGAGAGACCTCGACAGTCTAGGATTGGACCAAAAGAAATCTCATGAAGTTCAATAAGGACAAGTGCCAAGTCCTGCACTTAGGACGAAACAGTCTCATGCACCAGTTACAGGCTAGGGACCAAATGACTAAGCAGCAGCTTTGCAGAAGAGGACCTGGGCGTTACAATGGACAATAAGCTTAATATGAGCCAAAAGTGTGCCCTTGTTGCCAAGAAGGCTAACAGCATACTGGGCTGCATTAGTAGAAGCATTGCCAGCAGATCGAGGGAAGCTATTCTTCCTCTCTGTTTGGCACTGGTGAGGCCACATCTGGAATATTGTGTCCAGTTTTGGTCCCTCCACTACAGAAAGGATGTGGACACATTGAAGAAAGTCCAGCAGGAGGCAGTGAAAATGGTGAGGGACCTGGGGTATGTGACTCCTGAGGAGAGACTGAGGGAACTGGGCTTATTTAGTTTGGAGACTAGAAGACTGAGGGAGGTGGGGGTGATTTAATAACAGCTTTCACCTGCCTGGAGGGTGGTTCCAAAGAGGATGGAGTTGGACTGTTCTCAGTGGTGACAGATGACAGAACAAGGAGCAATGTTCTCAAGTTGCGCCAAGGGAAGTTTAGGTTAGATTTTAGGAAAATCTCTCTCACTAAGAGGGTAGTAAAGTACTGGAACAGTCTACCCAGAGAGGTTGTACACTCTCTATCCTTGGAGGTTTTTAAGGCCTGGCTAGACAGAGCCTTGGCTGGGATGATCTAGTTGGGGAAGGTTGTGCTTGAAGCAGGGGGTTGGACTACATGACCTCCTCAGCTCCCTTCCAACCCTAATTTTCTAAGTGTAGAATCACTTGCAGGTGAATCCATCCTTGAGTGATATGGGTATCTGGCATACTGTATTTTCTTTAAGTACCGTATACCCCCAGATCAGATATGTACTTTGTTTTTGAAAGGCAGAAAGTAGAAAAATAAAAATGTTCTAGAGTTGTGGCTGATTGTATGACAGAGTAAGTCCTCCTGGAAACATGGACTGATGAGGCTTGTGGAATGGCAGGACAACATCCAGGCTAGGCCCCAGACCTTTGCAAGGGTAGTAACAAGACTATTTCTCCTATATGGCAAATAGTTCTTTATATAACTTCCTGTAGATAATAAAATATTGATTCCACACCACAGGCCTCATCAAGATACCACAGACTGCATGCAACAGCTTACTTGCCCTGAGCCAGTTCAGTTGCTGCTTCAGGCACAAGCTACAGTGCTCAGCCAATAGCTACTGCAGATTTTTTAGCAGCTCTGAAAGGGTTATTGCTAGACTCCAGCTCTTCTGCTTTTTGGACCAGAAAGAACTGACAGCCTCTCCATGCATGTATTCCTGCAAAGAAAAATCAGCTTCCCCACTTAAGACGCAGTTTGGGAGAGCTGATTTTGGGGAAAGTGTGTGTATGGTATGTGGGTAAATATGGTCAGCATTCTTGGAGTTTGGTTCAAAAGACTTCGAGTTTCTTTTCTTCTCCTTACTCTCGTAAAATAAAAATGACAAATCTAACAGACTTCAGTAATCAAAATGCTTATGTGTTGCTGTAAAGTGCAGTGCTTTACACAGTCTCCCTTGTTTTTTTCAGTGTGATCCAGTGCAACTTCGAGATGGTGCTTGGGGTGTTTAACTTTGACAGTTTTCTTGCAGCAATATTAGTTAGGGTTGTGTTGTTTTCCATTTTTTTGCCAGGTTGATAAGGTGCTTTGACACCTTCCCAGTCATTTGTACTATCACTGTTGAAAAAAACTTTGAATGTAAATATTTGTTTTTACAAATTTTGGTTCTGCCAAGCAAGCATACGTCACTAGACAGAAAGGAAATGGCAGATTTTCGGTACAGTTTATACTTATGGAAGCTTGAAAGATGTTAACATTTTATTTGAAAGCTTTTACTAAATTATTTAGCATTTTAAAGAAGTTTATTGTATTTCCCCAGATAAAAGGAGTTAGTTTTGTCATATTGTAATAGATACTTCTAGAAAGTTTCCTCCTCTCCTTGTCATGTGGGATTCAACTTGTATGAACAAGTAGTCCTCACATTTAAACTGAGGACGACCCCAACAAGAATCATAAACACATTACCAATGGAATAATGTAAATTACTCCAGTATGTGGTCATTTGTCTCCATGATGGAATTTTCAAAATTAGCCCAGCAAACCCTATTGTCAATACAGTAATACATAAAGGTACCCTAAAATTGCACAGTGTGAGTAATCATCCAGAAATTTGAATTCTACCCTAAAGTTATGGAAGGCACACAGCCTTGTGACTGTCTCCCTGATAATCACCCAATTCCAAGTAGACCCTAGGTGTCCTCAAACTGTTTTCTTGGAAATGAGTCTAGTGACCTACTCTTTCCAACCTCCATGGATCATTTCCTTTCCTTCTTCTCATCTTCTCTCCTAATTCGACCTGATTTTATAATGTAAGGTTTAGTTTGTCTTCACAAAGAGACTTGAAATGGTAACATTACCCAAACCACTGGTGTTATTCAGAAAAAAAAAAAAAAAAAAAGAAATATGCACAGTCCTGTACATGTACAATAACTGTCACCCAAAAAAGGTGATTAAAGAAGGCAGCATTTATGCAGGTTTCATGCTTTGGGTCCCCACCGTCGGCTATGGTCTTTCTTCTGGGGTTGCTGCCGTCCCTCCAGGGTCCTTTTGTAGTTTCCCTCCTCCTGCCTTTGGACCGCTCGCCAAGCCTCTCCATGGAGCTCTGGGACGCACTCCTTCCCCTTTTGCTGCTGGCGCTACTGCTGCTCTGCCCAGGGATTTTATAGTCCTGGCCTGCCCTTTCCAGTCAGCTGACTAGCTGGCCAGGCTCAGCATTTAACCCCCTCTGTGCCCAGAAAGTTGTGGCCCTAAAAGGGCCGACCTGTCTTCTGGTGACAGGGCTAGCGTTCCCTGTTACAGCTCCCCAAGTCCCTCTTGACATACTTTCAGATGTCTGGTCTCCCTGTCGCAAAAACAATGAGCCCTACTGGCGTGGAACCAAAAAAGTTCTCAGGTAAAGTTCTGGGAGGAGCTAGGAGGTGGGGTACAGCCCCCACGAGAAACTTCTTTAGGAAGAGATTTCCAACTCCAAGAAGAGTGACAAATGCTCTTCAGATTTCATGGAAGAGCTGAGAACCCCAGGATAATGCAAACTGATGGATGTTCTTTGCTCAGTCTCAGCGTGGCCATACCCATAAACAAGGCAGTAGTAGATCCTGCCCAGTTGGCCTGGCAAGCTGTGCCTACAACAACTGTCACCTTAGTGTAGTGGATAAGAAATTAAAAATGCTTTGCAGAGCACAGGCGAGGTTCTTTGAGTAGTATCTTTTATTAGACCAACTGAGCAGCTGGGGAAAAAAATTTAGGCAAGCTTTTGGGTGCAGTCACCCTTCTTCAGGCATAGGGAGTCTTTGCTGGTCTGAGACTCCTTTCTTAAACAAGCCTACAAACTTCGCTTCATAAATCTACTGGATACAAAAAATCATGGACTCAATATAGACATTGGATTTATGACGCATTACAACCTGCCTGACATCTGATTCATCAGGTACCTGCCTGACCCTAACCTCTTACATTCTTCTTTTCCCACACCTTTTCTCCCTTTATCCCCTAGTTTTCTGCCTTTTGTCTTCCTGATTTTCAACCATTTCCTTTTTCTCTGAGAGCCTCTCTTTTATACCTTGTACTATTATCACTGTAGTGTTTCCCTTTGGCCTTTTTGCCCTTGCTTTCTTCCCCCTCTCTTCCCTGTTTTGTCTTTTCTAATTTCTACCTATTTATATTTTCACAGACATCTGTCATACTTTCTGCATCCCTCGTTCCTGTTTTCCTGATCTACCAATTCTTTTTTCACTGACAGCTTCTTTCTACCTTGTATTCTATCGCTGCTGTCACCCTTTGGCCTTTTTTTCCCCTGCCTGTATTGTCTTTCTAATTTCTACCTATTTATATTCTCACTGACATCCTGTCACACTTTTAGCTTCTCTCATTCCTTGGACCTTCTCTCATTCTCTAAGACCAGCAGAGACTCCCTATGCCTGAAAAAGGGTGACTGCACCTGAAAGCTCTCCTAAAACTTTTTTTCCAGCTACTCGGTTGGTCTAATAAAAGATGTCACTCAAAGAACCTTGCCTGCCTATGTCTTTAGGCCAACACAGCTACAACCAAAAACCTTGCAGAGGACAGATTATTCATTCCTGTCCCCTAGAAGAGACAGCAGCTGTTAAAAAAGGAGACCAGAGCAAAACTACTCCAGAAGACAAGGAGCTCAAAGGTATATTCTTCAGTGATCCTACAGCTCAAGGTCGCTAATTATCAAGCCTTCCTCCCACATGGATAAGCTGCCCCTTGAGTCCCGACTCCTAGAAATGAAGGAACACTTGACCTTCAAGGTGCTTGCTGCTTTCATATCTGTTATATCACCTCACAGAAATTAAGAGGTGCATGCTAGGTTACAAATCACTGTCAGAACAAGACTTTGTCCTTTAGCCTGTCAGCAGTCTTGAGGGACTTCAACATGATGTGCTCATGATAGTGACATCTATCATAACCTAACCTGCCCAGTCAGTCTAACCAACCCAGTCTCATTCCTGTTGGCCAGTCTTGTCGTGATAGCCAAGACTTGCCTCTCCCTACTGCGTGTATGTGTTCCCATACCTAATTCACAAGATAAATCCAGAGATTTCAAATAGGAATCCAAAGTGTCAAAAAACTTCTGATCTGTTGCAGTTTTTCTGAGTGCTTTGCATCAAAAGAATTGTTCTATTATCTTTGTGTTGTCAAAAAATGGGTGAAAGCTCAGAGCTGGCATTTTCAAAGGGGTGCCTTGAGTCTAATAAGGTTGAAAACCACTGCTCTATAGAACTACAGTGTTAGATGTTTCATTGCTGGTCTTAGGGACATGTGTATGACTTGCAAATCCATAGTGTGTGTCCTGAATGAGAAGCACAGGTGCATATTCATATGTTAGATATCAGGGCTGTCAACAAGGCCAGCAGATCTTCTCCACAGTCCATGTTGGGAAGAGTTGATACAAGCTATTCCATGCTTATGTTATATATCAGTAAACAGGACAGAGCATGTTTGTTTCCCCTCTGTGCATCAGCTATTAGATCTGCTATTCCTTGATGCACCCGTTTTGCCCTCAGAAGATGCACATGGATGGCCTAAGCAGATGCTCTTTTTCAGATCTCCAGTCCATCAAGGACTCCATCCTTCAAAGTATTTTTTTAGACTGCCATTTCTCAGGCAGACCTGTTCACAACACAAACTGTAGAAAAAGTGCTAGAAGTCCTATCTCAAGAAATATCTAAGCTTTCAGTCCCTCCCTCATGCCACCTTGATCTTGGGGACAAGGAGTTGATTGCATACCTATCCTGAGGTTCCTAGGGTTCTTAATGAAGTCTTACATAACTCAGCTGAGACGACTGGTTCTGGATGCTGTGCATCTCGCATCTAGGTATTTCATATCCTTGCCTTTTTGCTCCCAGATAGTTTATCTCTGGGCAGCATCTTTCACTTTACAGCTTAAATGTTGGGTCATTCTTGAGCTAGAGCAGTTCTGCTTCTCACTGGTTCATAACATTTTGGCCGGTAGCACAATTCAGACCATGTCAGCCAAATCACTAAAAAGTTTCTACCCCAGACATCTGTCAAATGGCCACCTGGGGCTTTGCAGACTATCTTACGAATGTGGAAACAGTTTCTCAGTCCTCCACGTGATAGGCTGTAAGTTCAACAAAGCGGGCATTATCAGGATGTCCCCCTGAGACTTAATTCTTGTTTCCAAATAGTCAGGTTACCTTATTTTGAAGTTGCTACCTGTGAAGTATGCATATGGGTAGTATCTTGAAGGAGAATGAGAACTAGCTTACCCTTAATTGGAGTCCTTTTGAGATGTGTTATTTTTCACATGCACATCCTGCAGCCCATCTTCTGCCCTCTCCTCCTGCACACATGGCAGTTTGAGGTGCAGCAGGCACACTCTGCCACTTTTATATCCTGGGTGCAAAACACAATAAACAGATGGGCACATGAAGGCTGAATGAGTACCACTAGGCATAAAGTCTCTGAACCCAAGTGTGTGGCATGCATGCATGCAAACTTGCAACATAAGGTGTAAATGACACACTGACTCAAAGAGCTGTTTTGTAAGTAGCGGCTCCTTTCCTTTCAACCTCTAAACCTCACTCCCCCTTTCAGTATTTTTAAACACAAGCTTACAAGATTATAGTCATGGCGGAAATAAGATACATCTAAATGAAACATTCGACTTGAGTATTTATAATGACTTTGTGTTTAGGTTATGTTTTTACTTTTAATATTGTCATGTGTGGTCTGATTGCTTAACAATGCTGAAAATACCAGTGTGGAGACACAGTAATAAACACTGAAAATTCCCTTGCTCTTTATCCCATGGAAAAGAGCTGTGAGCCAGGATATGTTCATCTCTGCCATATGTGGTCCAATTCCCTACCTCCTCATAACATTATGCCATGATTGTGGTCTGCTGTTTCTGAATAAATACATATAGCTTATTGGCTTTGTATTTTAGATTATGAAGTGTGCATTACTCAAACATTTAAATTCATTTGGTCCTCTCATCACAAAATTGTCATGTGCTAATAGCTGCCAATTTAAAGATTTTTTTTAAGAAATAGTGCATTGCTCTTAACCCATTTACAACATAGAGAAATTCACTGAAAGGTCGCAAACTTTATGGAGAGAATTTTAGCCGCAGTCAGGTTACACGTGTGCCAGAATGCAGGCTAGAGCATCAAAGGAGCTGCTTTCAGCAACCACCAACTGTAGAGAGGCATTTCTTCTCCATTCCACATATGTCAGATCCAGGTATCCCAGTGAGGAGTATGTGAAAATTAACCTGTTTTATCCTGGGGCACCAATGGAGAGCAGAGACATTCTTGTTTGGTTTTTTTCTATTTATTCTCATTTTTACAGTGATTATAAGATATGATAATGATGTTAAAACAGCATTAGTGACTTGTTCAAGGTGAAAAAGAAGCTCCTGATTGGTCTCAGATAAAATTGCAGCACTCTACTCTTAGTTCTACCCTGTTGTAAAATGCTTAGGTTATTGTCTTCTAGTTCTGGTTTAATATTTTTCTCCCAAATCATACAGCGTAAACATCACCAGAGGAATTGCGTGAATAGCTGCTAACTTGCAGCATTGTTTTAAAATTAAATGTGATACTGTTGGTAAATTTTAAAAAGCCATTGCTGTTGAAAATATACAGTGCTGTCACTCCATTACCCTTGATCTGCTACACTACAGCTGTTCAAGAAACCACACCCTCCAAAGCGAGTGCGAAGCCGAATCAATGGAGAGACTGCTGGAATGTCTGTCCCACCCGGTTCCACAAGTGACAAGATCTTTTTCCATCATTTAGACAATTTGAGACCTTCTCTTGCCCCTGTGAAAGGTAAAATTCAGTACTGTAATACGTGCTTCTGATCTTTTGTCAGAGCATTCATACTTCTAGCTGGATAAAGTCCCCTTTTCTGATTTTTCTGATGTTCTGCATCTTACATTCCACTGGATCTACCAATTTAAGGCCCCAGTTGTAACCTGGCTTACACAAATAACATGTTGATGCCAGGTAATTTAGTTGAATCTGCTGTACAGTTATGCCAGGAAAAAATCAGGGCTAAGAATACACTAACATAGGTATTATCTGCCTGCAGTTTTTTCCTGGATTAGCAGTTGGTTGAAGGCAAACTGCTGCTATCTAGTGGCAAAGCATTGTAATAACACCTACTGCAAGCCGTTATCCTAGAATAGCTGTTCATGAGAGCCATCAAGTCTAGCTGACTTGCGCCTGTTGACACCAGAAGATTTTACCCCATTCACTAAGATGTATATAAACTTTCTTGTAAACAACAGGTGGGGAACTGGCCTAAACTACACTCTGTACCTCCAGCATTTTGTTTTAATTTCAACAAATTCAGAAACCAGTGAGGAAAGCAGATTCTAGAATTTGAGATGCAACCGCTAAGGGATGCCCTGCCACCAAACATCAGACTTAAAAATCTAGCTTTAGTGCTCCATATAACCTCAAAATATGTGTGTTGATAATTTCTTAGTATCTCCGAGGAATGCTTTCAATACTGGCAAGAAATGGGGCTGTCAGTAGCTTCTTCAGAGCTGTAAAGAATGATTTCCAGTCCGTGTATTTCAATTTTTGTGCTGACAGAAATATAGCAAAACCTATTTAGAATGGTTAAGAGCCCATTTCTTAAACTTAATTGGTGTCATACTGACAAGACTATATTCTAAATTGTTCATGAAGAATTTGCAACACAAATTTTTGTCATGCTTCCCAGATGATGATTTTGAGTGCTTTACAAACATTATGTTCCTGTGAGGTGGGTAAGGGACAAATACGGTGATTACTTCACTCATTGCTGAAATGCATCCATTTCTGTAGTACAAAAAGAGAACAGTAGTTTAACAGAGCATAACAATGCCACACTGCTACCTAGGACAGGAAATAAAGAATACCTACCTCTGCAAATGTGTGAGCACATTAGGAAGGCAGGATGTAATTACCAAATAGAAATATGACATTTGGAATTATTTGGCTTGGATATTTGGAATGAATGCTTTTAATGGACAAAAATGTTGCATGACACTTAACAGCCTCAGACATTTATCATCTCACTTGTGTGTCTTGTTTATCTGAGATGGTACATCCGGTGATGCAAAGGGAAGGGTGCCCCTGAAGATTTGCCAGTCCCTTGGTGTTCCCAAGGAGATATCTAATTTAATTACCAATTGTGCTTAACTGTGAGGGCTGATAGGATTACAGAACAAGGAGGCATCCTTGCAGTTGAAGCTGACATTTGTACAGTATAAGCAGTGTAGGATTTCAGTTTTAAAAAAATCTATGGAGTCCAGTATTACAGTATTAACACTGTGATCAAACGGGTCGTCCCACAAACAGTACCATACAGTAACAAGTATATAATGGCTGTACTTTTGGGTGTTTGTAGTAACACAAAACCTTTGTTTTTGTTGTTCAGAACTCAAGGAGCCTGTGGGACAGATAGTGTGCACGGATAAAGGTATTCTGGCTGTAGAACAGAACAAAGTTCTCATTCCACCTGCCTGGAATAAAACTTTTGCATGGGGCTATGCGGACCTCAGCTGTAGACTGGGAACTTATGAGTCGGACAAGGTTTGTGATCTAAAATTTGTTCTACTGACATATGAAAGAAAATTTAGTTTGTATTCTTTACTGAAACAACTCTAAAAATTTTATATGTGCATACAAGTGAAAGAATAAGCAAAAAAAATCTGCTTTTTGGGTTAATGTTTATATTGATGTCTTCAGAAGAGAAATGATGGGAGGGGAGAAATGAAGTTAAATAATATTAAAAAGTTAATTTCCAAAATACAAATAAAGAATGTCAAGATTTCTATATTAAATTTCCATATTGAAGACTAACCTACAGTATTTGGTCTGGCACCATCTTGTGGCAGATATTTGGAACTTCCACTATTAGGGGAGACACCCAAGCAAGTGATAAACGTTCTCTTCTACATAAATAACCAAAATAAATATGCATGCACACACTTAAGAGATAAGTATGCTTGGTATTTATCCAATTTTTACTCAGACCAACTCCCACTTGCTTCAAGAAAGGTAATGCAAGAAGAAAGGTGCATTCAGAAAACAGTTTGACAGGTCAATAGTGAAATGCAGTTGCTGTTCTTGATTGGCTAAATGCATCCATCCTCCTTATTAATCCAACTTCCTTGCCCTAGCACCATTGTCAAATGCTTACCTTCTTTTGGGGCAAGGACTTTCCTTTACTATATGTTAGTAAGTGTCTTGCATCATAAGGCTAGACCTGCTAACTAATAATTTGTAGCTTAGGACTTGGCTCTAGTGAGGGACCTAAGCCTGAAAGTATGGCTTAGGATCAAAGTTTCCCAGCATTTGGGCATGTCTGCCATTTCGTCACTCCTCTCTGTACTAAACAAAACAAATTTAAGCCTTTCTCTGTTCTTGAAGAAGTGGCTTTCAGTCTGGGAATCATAGAAGAGAGGAAAGGCAGGTGAGGAAGAGTATGAGAGATGGAAAACAATTTTTTAAATTAAGCACCAGTGCTTATTGAAAGCAAATATGTAATGTTCTCACTCAACTGTCTGATTAAGCACATGCTTTGGCATTGTTCACAACTTAATTGTTCAATAAATGTATCATGTGAATTAGTCTCAAATCCTAAGTAGTTATAAATAGTGCCTTTGTTTTTGTTCCTTGGCACTGAAGCTAGAAAATGTGTTTTTGACTGAAGTTTGTTTATGTTGCTTCTAGCCAACTTTCTGGCTCGGTTATCTGTAGATACCAGACAGTTAAATGATGATGACTGTATAAAATTACTTTTATTGACTAATGCCAGCACAAAACCTCACCAGCAAAACACCAAACTTGCATATATTGCATCTTTCTTATCTAACTTAATGTTTTATTCTGTAGGCAGTGATTGTTTATGAATGCTTGTCAGAATGGGGGCAGATTCTGTGCTCAATCTGCCCCAACCCCAAACTAGTTATCACTGGAGGAACAAGCACCGTTGTATGTGTGTGGGAGATGGGCACCTCCAAAGAAAAAGCAAAAACACTTGCTCTGAAACAGGTAAAAACTAAACAAAACATGTTTTCCTAAGAAAATGATATTCCAAAGTCAAAGGAGGTAGGGAGACATGGCTCTGTGCACCCAAACCTACAGAGACAACTAGTTGGTGCTTCAGAGCTAAAGCTGAAACAAAATGTTATCTTTGACAGCATCTTAAAACCTCTCTGGAGCTGAAGTAGCCACGTTCCTTAAAGAATCATAAAGAGCAAAGTGCTCTTCAAAGGGGTGTGAGTGAAAATCACTGTTAAGTGTTCCTGGGGGAAGAAAGCACACTTTCCTGAAACACTGCATGCTGAGTACTCAAGATTCTTTTTCTCTTGGCATGGTTGCAAAATTCCCACCGAGTTGGACATTCCCTGCCCCCTTTAAATTGTAACAACCTTCTCCTGAAACATTTCACCTTTTCTCTTCAAAAGCAGACATTTTCTGCTTTACTGAAAAGAAGTGTTAGAAGACAAAACTGCCAGATTTGGCAGTGTGGTTTTGTAGAAGCAGGCTGCACTTGCTTAACAGTGTGTTAATGCTGCTGCTTGAGTTGTTGCCTCAGCATGCTGCCTTTGGGGTAATGCACCAGTGGTGGATTTAGAACCAAGTCTCTCTCCGAGTTGAGTGGAGTGTACATTTCTGAAACACATCTAAAACATTATTGTTCTAGGTAAAGCGCCTTTTACAAGAGGAACAAAAAGAACAATTTAACTGGGACTTAGGAGAACAAATATAGAAGTTACTTAATTTGCATTTCAGAGTAGTGTACAACATGAATTCTCTAACACTACATCTTGATCTTGGCTGGTACTTTTTTTGGTGAACTGTATTCAGAAAAAGAGACTTTCTTCCAGTGTCTGCTGCTCCCAGCTGTGTCAGTCTCGCCGGAGCACCAGAGATGCTGCCGGGTATCTTGAGTTGCTTAATTAATAGTCAAATGCATCGGGAGTTATCTCACAGCGTCTGTTTCAGTTGTTTAGATAACAATAAGGTTTAAAAGTAACAATGTCAGCAAAGGAAAAGGCACCATTCTGGCACTTTAAGTTAGCCACTTCCCTTTCAGTGTCAGTTTATGCCACAAGTTCCTTTTTAGCTAATGTTCTCATCTAAAAATTGAATAGGGGACTTCTTGTGTTCTTAACTGAACTTTTGCTATAAGAAACTAATTTAAAATAGCTACCAAAACATACGGTGCTACAGAAAAGAGGCAAGTGTTGTCATGCTAGAGCTGAAAGAAGCAGAAGGGGAAAGGTGTCCATAGTGGTGTGTCTTATTCATCTGAATTGTGTTTCCTAATGGAAGATTGTGTGTCATAAAACCCCTTAAAACTGAAATTTCAAAGAGTTAAGTTTTAAAAACCTGAATGTCAAGTGAATGAGCCCAAACTGTGTAAAATGCCCCAAACCGCTCTCTGTAGATTATTAACAGATTATTGGTGCAGTTCTTAAGTGAAACTGCTCCATTAAGCCATGCACCAGTAGACAAACAGTATGAACAACTTGTGCTGTTTGTGTTTGTATTGCAGGCAGCAGTGCAGGAGAATGGATTAAATTATTTTATGAGCAGCAGTTTACACTATACAGCAAAACCTCATTTATGAATACCCTGCACTTCCAAATACTGTCCTCTAAAATCCATTTATTTCTAACACATTAGATCACTTTTGATAAAGTTTCTAGTTTATCAGAAAAATCATTTCCTGTCTGTTTAAATCGATTCACTGTAATAAATCCTGTACATGCTTTTTTTCCTCTTTTTTTTCTTTTTCAGGCATTGCTTGGACATAGTGACACTGTCACATGTTTAACAGCATCAATAGCTTACCACATAATTGTGAGTGGATCACGGGACCGCACCTGTATCATATGGGATTTGAATAAACTGTCATTTCTAACACAGCTTCGAGGTCATTGGGCTCCAGTGTCAGCTCTCTGTATAAATGAACTAACGGTAAGAACCAGCCTGTTGCGTGACATGCTAAGAAGGTTAAACATTTATACTAGAGCTAATAATTCCCAAATGTTCCAGGCTGTTTTTCTTGCAAGATAACAAAAGGCTTTTATGAAAGTCAGTCCAGTTCCTTTGTTCATGGTGTTTGCCTGCACATGCTTGAGTTCCAAAGCACACTAGTCCTGACAGCTCTGTTGATTTAAGTCCTTTCTTCCTGTGAAATATTTTAAGCAGAACCAATATTGTTCAAAACTAGAGGAATACAATGCCTGAGGCTTCCATGGGTTTAGGGATATATTTTTACAGCCTGCCTGATTCCAAATCACTTAACAGTTATATTGGTATGAAGCTGTACCCCACTAAAAAATGAATGCCCATTCATTAACCTAGGAGAACACTTGTACATAATGGAAGGAACATATAATGTATATGACCCAATACATTTTAACCACGAAGAAAGGTCAACATACCTTAAAGTCCAATTCCCTTAGCTATTGAAATGCTGTAGGCCATGACCTACTCTAAATGATTAACAGGAAGAATTGCTTTGTGTTTCAGAAGTCAACCTTGAGACCTCTTACGAGAACATCTACACTGTCATACCCTAACTGTAGCTCCTGTGGATACACCTGAGCTAGAATTACTCTAGCCAGGTAGGGTACTGGTGGCAATGCACCCAGAGTATTACAGACCTCAGTGAGGTGTTCAAAATTTACCTAAATAGCTGGATGAATCTGTGAGCAACCAGCTCACCCTGCTGCTGCTGCTATGGTACTTGCAGCACCTGAGCTAGCCAAGATATACCTGCGTGAGCTACACTGACAGTCATGTAGATGTAGTCTGAGAATTTGTCTCCACTGCACCTGTAGCTTGAGGTATATAACTCATGCGTTGCCCATAACCCACCCAGGTACAGAAATCTTAGCTTGTGGTACAGTGTTTTAACCTTGAGCTAGCTGGCCTAGCAGCAGTTGAAGCCTGAGGAGTGCTGTCATATAAGTGTTTTGTCACAGTGCGGTAAACCCTGAATTCTTTTTATGATGCTGTAAGAAATGAGGCTGATGATATGGGTCATATCGCACTAGATTAACTGGGTAAAGCACTGAAAACACCATTGGCCCTGAGTTGGAAGTGCAATGAGGGAGAAATCCCCTCACTAGATTTACTGTCAGAAGGGTCTGCAACCATGCTTGTTTTCTGTGACCAAAGTTTTAAATAATGGGAGTCTGCAGTTCTCTTTTGAAGCATGTCTGTGAGCCCCTCAAGCAGAGGTGCTTGCTAATTGCTCAAAGAATTCCCTTTTTAGAGCCCTGAACACAACATGCCTAGGGACCAAAAAACCCAAACCTTATCCCGTGTCTCCCCTCAAGGCTAATAGAGACGGTCAGAAACCCCGAGGCCGAGTCAATTCAGTCTTCGCAGGTTAGTCTAAGCTGCGTAGATTGAACAGATAAGCAAGTGAACAGACATTCACTTTTGATTCCACATGCCTGCAGCAGCTCTCGTCAGAAGCCAGGAGGTGCTAAAGCACAGCTCCCCGCTTGGCTGGAACAGAGCTTGGGCCAAGGCTAGCCCATCCCCCCTGCAAGTTGGGGGACAGAGGTTTTGGAGGAGGTGCAAAACATCCTGGGATGCTGTGAGTTAACTTGAATCTAGAGGGGATCTGGGACAGAAGTTCAATCAACTGATTTAACCTAAATCAGTTAAGTCTGATTCTGCATCCATCCAGGCTTATCTTAAACCAATTTTGGCCATTTTGAAAGCAGTCTATGTGCACCAAACTTCTGTTGTGTTACAGATTTGAACTGGTTTCCAATCATTTATACCTATTTATGTGTAATTTCTATCCCTAGCCCAGATTAAGTATTTTTGTAAATAGCTAGGGTTTGAATTAAAATGTCAAGTGTATGCTTGTTTCCCTCTCTTCAGGGGGATATTGTGTCATGTGCTGGCACTTACATCCATGTTTGGAGCATTAATGGGAACCCAACAGCAAGTGTGAATACTTTCACTGGACGGAGCCAGCAAATCCTGTGTTGCTGTGTATCAGAGATGAATGAGTGGGACACCCAGAATGTCATCGTGACGGGGCACTCTGATGGTGTGGTCCGAGTAAGTAGCAGGAGACCTTGCACAGAGAAATAAGTGCACTCTTTGATAGTAGGCAGGGCTGTATGGAGATACCCAAGCTAGCACTAAACTAGCTACTTGCGAGTAGCAGAAGCAATATAGTGCAGCTCTGTGCAAAGCTAATGTAGCTCTGTTGAGCTGATCTATATTAGTAGTGTAGATGCACTATTCTAAGAGCCTGGCTTAGTTTACAGCAAGTGTAAAAATCAAATTGATACCAATCGATTTCTTCTGTGCTTATGCCCCATCCAGTTCTGGAGGATGGAATTTTTGCAGGTACCTGAAACACCGGCTCCAGAGCCTGTGGAGATCCTGGAAATGCAAGAGGATTGTCAAGAAGCACAAATAGGTAGTTTTCTAGTAGCAGTTCTCTCTTGTCTTTTTGTTTTAATTTGTTTGGCATGTGTGAAGTACTGCAGTTGTAGAATTCAGAAGGGGTGACACACATTCTGAACCACATTTGCATACAGACTTCTATTCTGTCTCGCAGATAATCTGATTCTTCTTTTCCATCTAGATAATTCCGCTGACTTCCTTGGTTGTTTCTGTTTTATCCTGCAGTGTATAAGAAAACTCTGGCCCATGTGATCTGATTTCATTTGTGTAATATCCCCTGTTAAAGAATTGGGTCACATGAGAAGCCACCTGTAACAGTTAATCATTTCTTTTCCTATGTGTGGCAATAGAACATATACCAGAGTCAAAATGTAATGGTGGAATATAACTTCTTAAAGCTATGGTATAGTCTTAGTAATGTTAGTTTGCACCAGATTTTACTGAAGTTCTCTGCCCACTAGGCATAGGCATTGGCTTTATCTGTCTTTTACTTTAAATAGGGAGAGGGAGAGTTGGTAGAGTTTAGGTACCTTGCGAGAATCAAAAAACCCATTTTTATCTCTTTTTACTTTCTATAAATTTTAATTAGTGTTTGTCAGGGATATTTGTTACCCCCTCCCCCAGTGCTCAGTGCAGTAGTTCTGTAGAATATGCCATGAAAGCAGAACATGGGCAGTCTGGGACCTTAAAGCACACTTATTTATTGGAATGCGTTTCGTCCCCTGTCTAGCTCTCCTCCAGACATAAGCTACTTGCTTTATGTTGTTCCTGTTTTCTTTTCAGGTCCTTTTTAGGTCGGGGGCATCAAACCCATCCAGCCCCACAGGCCAGAGGAGGAGTACAGGGTGGGTCTATGGGCCAGATTGGGTCCACAGACCAGCCTCATAGGCTGGATCCAGCATTCAGGGCGAGTGTCGTGTGGGTACCACCTGCCAGCTTTAGCCCTGCATGCTGCAAGCAGCATGCACTGACCCCAGTCCCACATGTGGCACATGGTTCGTGTCCCTGGTTTGGGGCACATACGGCACAATATGCAAAGTTAGTCTGGGGCTTATGCAGCATCTGTGCTGGACTGGGCCTACACAGAATCTGGCATATGGATTGTGCTGGACTGGCCTTGGATTCAATGTGCAGGGCAGGTTCAGCACAAGCGCCGTGTGCAGCATGCACCCAGCCCAGCTGTGTGCTCAAGAAGTTTAGAAGAGAAAAAATTTCTGTTCAAAGTTGAGAGTATTTGTGGAAAGCCCCACCCACTTATTTCAGCATAGCTGCCCCTAAGAGAAGTGGGCATTTCTAGGAAAATAGTTCAGTCCATTCTGAGTGGTAAGCAGATCAGCTGTGCTATATCTGCCGATATTCAGAGGAAGGAGTCAGATGGCTGCAGTAGCTTTGACAATGTGCCTGTGTGTAGTGTCTCTTAGATGTTCCTGCGCAGGCTGCAGTGAATTAGCTGCCTGAAAAAGAAGAGAGCAGAACAATCCGCACTGCTTTGCTAACAACTTCTCTTGCACTACATACCACAGGGCAGGAGGCCCAAGAGGAGGACAGCAGTGACTCAGAGGCAGATGACCAATGTGTCAGTCAGGATTCTAAACCACAGGAAAGCCAGAGCCAACCAAGCAGCACCAGCCAGAGGCCAAGGTCATCATCAGGCAGGGCAGCAGCAGCAGCATGGTCAGCAGATAGTGGCTCTGATGACTCAAGGCGTTGGTCAGACCAGCTCAGCTTGGACGAGAAAGACGGTTTTATCTTTGTGAACTATTCTGAGGGACAAGCTAAAGTACATCCCCATGCTCAGGTCAACCACCCACACCCTAACTACATTGAAGTACGGCACTACAGCAAGCTTAAACCAGGTACAGGAAGAGAAACACATTCTCCCTCAGTAACTATGCTATCCCATTGGCTGACCCCTGGGAGGGCATGGGGTTTCCTAATCTAATATTGCTTCTCTCCTAAATGCACTGATGAGCAATTAAAAATGTCATCATTTCAGATGTTGTTACTGGGGACCAGCTAACCCCATACTGTCAAACTGCCCATGGGGAGCTCCAGGAAGCTTGTTCCTACTCCCAGTTCATCTCCAGGGTGAGGGCACTAGGGCACTGCCTAACTTGTTCTGTGAAGCAACAGAGGTTGGACTGACAGGTGTGTTCCTGTTCATTTCCAGGGTACAGGTGGGAGCGCCAGCTAGTGTTTAGGAGCAAACTTACTATGCACACAGCATTTGATCGCAAAGACAACGCACATCCAGCAGAGATCACTGCATTGGGCATCTCAAAGTGAGTAATTCACGTACTGTAGTCCACCAGACCTTTTTTTTATTATTATTTTATTTTTTCAAGTGGAGGAGCTCATTTTGGGGGAAGAAAAGAGAGCACTTCCAGATTAAACAAAGTTGTGTCAGAAAAGGAGCAGATCTGAGCTGTGCTTCGTTAATATTCTCCAGTCAGAACAGGCTAATTTAAGAGTGCACCTACTACCGTTTAGAGCTTAATATTTGCTGTGAACATCTGCTGCCTATTAAAGGCTGAAATGGGGATTAATCAACCCGGTGTTGTGGGGATGCTAATTCTTGTTTTTTGCAGGGATCACAGCAGGATCCTTGTAGGTGACAGTCGAGGCCGAGTGTTCAGCTGGTCCGTGAGTGATCAACCTGGCCGGTCTGCAGCTGACCACTGGGTGAAAGATGAGGGAGGAGACAGCTGTTCAGGCTGCTCTGTCCGTTTTTCTCTCACCGAAAGGCGTCACCATTGCAGGAACTGTGGACAGCTCTTCTGTCAGAAGTAAGACAGCCATTACTTCTCTTTGCTATACAAAGCACCATAGCATAACTTTGTTAGGCTTTGTCAAATTTTAGTTGAGAGATTTGTATTCTCACTTTTTTCTGAAATAAAACTTCAGTACTTTCAAAATGTACAGCAAATTGATTGGATAGACAGACAGATCCCCCAGCCATCTCTTTTTAAAACCAATAATCTGGCAGATATTGATGACAAATTGCTCTCTACTTTTTAAAACCAACTGTTTTCTATCTGGTGTGGCCTTCCCCATACGTGGGCCAAATTAAATGTGCTCCCTGCAGCCTACATACAGGGTTGCTTGGACTCGCCCACAGGAGAGAAAATGGATCGGAGATCTTCTGTAGGCAGGAGTTGAACATGAGGTCTACAAGGGAGTGAGGCAGGGATAGTATGAATAGCTTCTAGTTACAACCTCTGGGCATCTATACACATGCTCTGGGGTGAAGGGGGGTGCTTTAATTAAAGCAGCTCTGAGAGCCACTCTAATTAGAGCACCCACAGTGTCACGTGTATTCAGCATCCCGCGCTTCAAAATATCGGCAGGAGCGCTTTAGTTCAAGCTTTAGTTAAAGCACCCCCGCTGCTATTTTGAAATACAGGGCTGCTGAATACATATGATGTGGAGGCTGCTGGAGCGTGCTAATTAGCAGCACCTGCAGCAGAATCAATTAACTGAATAACATGCATCAGAGCCAAGCTCCATCGTGTGTAGGTGCCCTCTGATTCTAAATTCTTAGCCATGGCAGTGCAAAAACTGCCTGTAAACTGTCCTTTGTTAAAATTAATCTTGTAACGTTGGTATGGCCATGATGGAGAGAGTCAATTTCCAGTTCTTGTACTGTCACTGAAATTGTGCCCTAGGTCCTGTCTGGTATGTAGAGTCCTTGTGGTGAATTCACAATATCTTTTGGACTAATAAAGGCCAAATAAGAGTTCAAGGTTGGCAGGAAGAACCCTTGTGACAACGTTGTTTTTCTCTAACAGGTGCAGTCGGTTTCAATCAGAAATCAAGCGCTTGAAAATTTCATCACCTGTCAGAGTCTGTCAGAACTGTTACTACAACCTGCAGCATGAGAGGGGGTCTGAAGAGGGGCCTCGCAATTGAGGAGGTCATGATGCAAACTAAAGACCAAGCTCTGAGATCCCAGTTCAGCCCCACGGTAACCTAGCAAATTAATCACAGTACCATACAGTGAATTTGGAAGGGATTAGAATATTGTCTGTTTACACTTCTCTTTGTACTGTGTTTTAAGCACTGAAAAAGTAAAAGGGATTTTTTACTTGATTTCATGTGTGTTGACTGCAGTTTTGAGGCTAACAGAATTGAGTTCGATTGGTAACAACAAATACAGTAACTGTTGGTACCTAAATCTCCCTGCGTATCAAGAAAATCCTCACTTAGCTTAACAACCTATTCTTGTCTTGTTTTTGTAGAGCTAGTCATCCTTTATTTGGGAGAGAAAGGCTTTTTAGAAGATAGTTGTAAATCTGCCTTCTTTGCAAGCAACTGTGTATATTGTAAATAGGTATAATGGCCTTTTTATCTAAATATGAACTTAACTGCCTGTTACATGGGACTTCAGGCTAATCACTATGCTTTCTGTGATATCTTTATCTCATCTATCAACTTAAATAGGAATGTTTAAAAACTCAAAGGCATTATTTGCATTTTTGTTTAAAATCCAGTCTGTGCATGCTTGTTCTTTCAGTTGCCCACAGTATCTATCTATTCATAGACATTATGTGGATTTTTTTTCAAAGGATTTTTTTTTGGGGGGTGGGGAGTGGGGAAGGGAAATAGGACCTGGAGTGTTTTACTCAAACTATAAGATAACCAAGAATTAAATTGTACACTTCTGTTGCATTTTATACCTGTTTACCACCTCAGTGTTGTTAATATTTAATAAGGCCTCTTTTATACATAGAGCTGTTTCTTCATTACTTAACAGGATAGTTAGCAGCTGATTCGTGCAGTGCAGGAACCAGCTTTTACCTTCTTAAATCAATGGAAATTGGCTTGCATGTTAATTAATTTCTCTTGCGTAGAGCTCATAGGTGTGTATAACTGACACCGTTGTTCTACTGTAGCTTATTTTCAAAAGATGTACAGGACAATCTAACCCTTGCTGTATAACTGGATAATTATTACTAACATCAGAACTGCTTTTAAGGCTGTCTTTATCTGTAGTGACATGACATCAACTGGGAGACAGCAGTAGAGTTCCATTACCATCCTTACATTTTAATACCAATTTCTTTGCAGCATTTAATATCCATTAATTTATTTTGCACCACATGTGGGACAAAGTACAGACATTGACATCCACAGAGATTGGAACACTTGCATCAGACAGGCCCATGGACATTTTCTGAATGAGGTCTTGACAGTGGTTGTTTTTTTAAATGTGTGTATATATTTTGTAAATGGGTGACAAAACTTGATTGGTCTAGATTTAGGTATATTCACAAAAAGATACTTTTAAATAATGGTAAGCTCTGACCCAAATCAACAAAAGGTGGACAGGGAAGGGAGGGGGGAACAAACGTTTGCATCAGTGGAAACTTGATGAGTAACTTCATTGGGAAGAATGGGATTATCCTTCATTTACACTGGTGAAACAGCAGAATCTGGCCAGGAAATCAGTCGTGAACAGACACAGTCCTTAAATGACACCATTGCAAATATTAAAACCTCTATGATGGTATGAGTTTATCCAAAGGATACCATGCATTAACAGAACCCTCCTGCCTTTTGTTGATCTGTGCTCTCTTTAGCAGTATATGTTTTGACCACTTGCTATTTACCTGGTAACACATGTTTATGCACTGAAGGTAAAATATGTATTTTGATACATGTTAGTTTATTATGTATGTGATGGTCTGTAAAATTAGAGAAATTCCTGTTTTGGTATGTATACTAGGTCCCCCACAGAACAATAAAGGCTTCTTCAGAGCCTTCACACACTATTGAGTAAATGCAGGTTTATTTAAGTTAGCCAACCCCGTAGCTCACTTTTGGGTTTAACGGTGATGATCAAATAACTTCCCATCATAGATGAATTCTGTCGTGCTGGCCTTGAAAAAATCCTCCGTGAGTTTGCAGAGAACCTGTAATTTCTGTATTAAACTGCTCTCTTTCTAATGCTACTTTGGCCCTTCCCAAAACTACCTAAGAATACCGTCATCTAGATTATGGGTTAACAGCCTATAGATTTTCAATGTCCAGTGAATGCTATTAAAAAAATAATTAAATGCACTTAAGTCTTGAATTTTTTCCCTTTCCTCTAACTCCCAAATGACACAGCCTTGTTTTCTGTGGGCTGAAGCCTTGAAAGTCTTAGTTACAAATGAATTTTTACGTTATAAATAAATAAAGCCAGGCGAAAACAGGACTTCTGAGTAAAATGGTGATGTGATCTAAACACCTAAATGCCACTCAACGTTGCAGGGCATTAAGTGAAGGTTTTATTAACTGTGTTTGACTCCACAGAGACTTTGTACCAGTGTTATTCTACACTTTTTACAGTAGGCAATGTGCTAGAGATTAAGGTCATTACCCCCCACTTAAATCCTGTGGTATAACAACTAATACAAATTTCTGAACGCCACAGCCCCTCTGACCGATTCCTTTGCCACGTTGTACAGAACTGTTTTTTCCCAAAATAACGCACTTTCTGGCATTTCAGAGGTGGACAATAAAAGTCACCTGATCAGATTTCCTATGGCAGCCGGTGCTGTGGGCAACTGTTTCATTCACTTGGGTGTGGTCGTCTTTCTTTTTTAAACTGTTAGCGCAGAACTTTACTTTGATTTGTCCAAAAGGCTTTGTTTTCCACATGAAAGTTTGTTGAGCAAAAACCTACTCATACACACTAACATCAGCGGCCTATATTCTCTGCCAGTACCTCACGTCTTCTCCTACCTTGTTCTTTGTAGTACACTTATTCATTTGTGTACTCAGCCATTTGTACGTAGTGTGCAACTGTAACGTCATGCTTATGAAGGTGAGATTGGCTGCCTCCGGCCCACATTCATCAGCAAAACACTTTAGAGAAGTTTATTTTGCACTTTCTTATGTATAAAATTGGTAGAAACTTATTTTTGCTTTGTATAATTTAAAGACTCCTTTTGTTTCAGTAAATGAACTGTGTATAAAATATTTATGCAGTTAAAACAGTTTTTAGAAAGTATTTTTAATTTCGGCAAGTTTGGTTACTTGTTGCATGACTATTAACACAGCTGACTTTTTGTGTCAGTGCAATGTATATTTTTTTGTCCTGTTATTTACTTGTAAGCCCTAGTAAATGGCCATTTATTTGTACAGCATCAGGAGTAAATTGAAGATAATTGGTTAAGACTGGAGTATGGAATTTTGTACTATATTACAGAATCCAATATCTGTTTTTTGGTGGTTATGTAAAAAGGCCTGAAGATTTACTATCTAATGTGCAGTCTGTGATATCTGAATGTTCATTGTATATTTGTCTCCAATGCAAAAAGGTAGAGTAACACAATTACAATACATGATTAAATGCAATAGTTCAGGTACTTAAGTATTTTTTTTTTCATTTCAAATAAATACCTGCTATTTACCACCAAAAAGCTGTTTTGCATTTATCTTGAAAATTATTTGAGTTAAAGCAGCAGTGTTTACTAAAGCTTCTTCTGAGTATGGGGTTTTCTCATTGGCTTTAAATGCTACAGAATGTGACATTGGAAATAGGATCTACCAGAGTAGGAGAGACTTGCAGAAAAGCATGATTATGCTCCTAATAGGGACAAACTATTTAGTTAGTTTTAGAGACTTCTCCCAAGTTGATGAAATTTACACATAGTACCCTTGCTGTTTCTGGCAGAATTGTGGCAATGAACCATTTTTTTTAAATTTTGTTGTAATCATAATGCTGGCCCCTGCCATTCACTAATTTTGGACAGTGTTGGAATACTTTATCCTGTACCTAAGTCATCTTGCTCTCATTAATATATTTGGTCACTTAGTATCTTCTTCCTGCAGAGGAAAACTGACTTTTGCTGAAGATTTTAAACCGGATAGACTTCTTTGCTTTATTGCACTCAAAAAAATTCACTGCCATGAACTACCATTGCAAAAATTGTAGATGAAGGAAACTGGTTTTCTGGATGAACTTTACAATAGCTCTGCAAAATATATTCTCAATTTTATTAATGGAGATGTCTTCAATAGCACAAAATAAGTTTCTTATCCTGAAAAAATTCGAATTGTTCCTTACACCACATAAATGTCTCATCCCCCCCACCCACCCTTTAACCTTTATAGCGGGAATTACATCAGCTTTTAAAAGGCATTGTAAAATGGTTATTGCACATACATCATATGTAGGGTTCCATCCTCAGGTCTCTGAAAAGGTTAAATCAGTGTAGCGTAGAGTTTATTTTTCATTCTAAAATGTAGCTCGAAACTTCACTAGGAAGGCTTTCCATTGAGTATTTCAGACTCCTGTTGCCGTGGACAAGAATTTCTTTATTCTGTTTCATAGACTATTATTAACTAGTTTAGCTAAATTGTAATGAATGCCATAAGAAAAGCTCTTAAAGTTAGTTAAGATTATATTTTTAGAATAGATTCCCATATGCTTTAACCCTTCACTCAGCTAAGAATCTGTTAATCTCTACAGGGTTGCAGGGTTGGACCTGACTGTACAGATTAGGCTGTATTTAAGTAACAAAGCTTGGCCCTGCTCATTGCCTTCTTTCCTCAATAATGCAGCAGAGCCATTTAATGGACTAAAGGAAAAACTGTCTGGAGTGCTGCACCATGTTGTTTTCCAAACAGCAGTGAAGCTGGGTGTTCAAGAAACTCACATCCCTAACAACTTGACCTTCTAGGCTTTTTCCTCCAAAAGCTTGTCTGGAAGTTGTAACCCTTAACCCCACCATTTTGTCATGTGCCATTCACTGCATGAAGAAGCAATCCATTTGTCCAAGTCTGCCTAAGGGAATGCAAGTGAGACTGATATATACTATAATGAAAAGCAATAATGCGTTGCCCCAGTTTATTCCCCCCCACTTTCTTTGGGATATCTCATTTAGCATATGACAAAGCTAAAATGTCACAAGTTGCACACTACACCCAACACAATTGAAGGTCTCTCCTCATTTTAGGGGTTTTTTTTATTTTTTTACGTGCTTGGGGAAGAATAGACCATGAGGAAGTGGCGTATGAGGCTTTCTTCAAACAGCTAGCAGAAGTTTCCCGATCATAGGCCCTGCCTCCCATGGGGGATTTCAGTCACCCTGATATCTACTGGGAGGGCAATACAGGAGTGCATAGGCAATCCAGGAAGTTTTTAGAAAGTGTTAGGGACAACTTTCTGGTGCAAATGCAGGAGCAGCCAACTAGGGACCATGGCTCTTGACCTGTTGTTCACAAACAGGGAAGAATCAGTGGGGAATGTAGATTGCAGCTTGGGCAGCAGTGAATACAAAATGATTGGGTTCAGGTCCTGAGGAAAGGAAGGATGGAGAGCAGCAAAGAAAGAACCTGAACTTCAGAAAAGCAGACTTTGACTCATTCAGGGAATGCATGGGCAGGATCCCCTGAGAAGCCAATCTGAGGGGGGAGAGGAGTCCAGGAGAGCTGGCTGTACTTTAAAGAAACCTTAATGAGAGTGCAGGAACAAACCATCCCGATACGCAGGAAAACTAGCAAGTATGGCAGAAGACCAGCTTGGCTTAGCAGGGAACTCTTCAGGAAACTAAATCACAAAAAGGAAGCTTATACGAAGTGGAAACTTGGACAAATAAAGGGGGGGGGGACTATAAGAGCATTGCTTGGGCATGCAGGGTTGAAGTTGGGACGGCCAAAGCACAACTGGAGTTGCAGCTAGCAAGGGATGTGAAGGGTAACAAGAAGGGTTTCTACAAGTATGTCAGTAATAATGGAAAGATCAGGGAAAGTGTGGGTCCCTTACTGAATGGGGGAGGCAACCTAGTGACGGAGGATGCAGAAAAGTCTGAAGTACTCAATGCCTTTTTCACCTCAGTCTTCACAAGCAATATAAGCTCCCAGACTACTGCACCTGGCAGGTGAGCAGCCAACAGTGATAAAAGAACAGGTTAGGGACTATTTAGAAAAGCTGGACATACAAGTCAATAGGGCCGGTTGGGAGGCATCCAGGGCGGTGAGGGAGTTGGCTGATGTGATAACAGAGCCATTGGCTATCATCTTTGAAAACTCATGGTGACTGGGAGAGGTCCTGGATGACCAGAAAAGGGCAAACAGTGCCCATATTTAAGAAAGGGAAGGAGGAGGATCCAGGAAACTATAGACTGGTTAGTCTTACCTCAGTCCCTGGAGAAATCATGGAGCAGATCCTCAAGGAATCCATTTCTAAGCACTTGGAGGAGAAGAAGGTGATTAGGAACAGTCAGCGTGGATTCACCAGGGGCAAGTCATGCTTGACCAACCTCACTGCCTTCTATGATGAGATGACTGGCTCAGTGGATCTGGGGAGACCAGTGGATGTGGTTTATCTTAATTTTAGCAAGACTTTTGATACAATCTCCCGCAACGTGCTCGCAGGCAAGCTAAGGAAGCATGGGCTGGATGAATGAACTGTAAGGTGGATAGAAAACTGGCTGGAGCATTAGGCAATAATCAGTGGCTCAATGTCTAGTTGGCAGCCAGTATCAAGTGGAGTGCCCAGGGGTCAGTCCTGGGGGTGGTTTTGTTCAATATCATCATTGACCTGGAAGATGGCATAGAGTGCACCCTCAGCAAGTTTGCAGATGACACCAAGCTGCGGGGAGTAGTAGATACGCTGGAGGGGAGGGCTAGGATTCAGAGTGACCTAGACAAATTGGAGGATTGAGCCGAAAGAAATCTGATGAGGTTCAACAAGGACAAGAACAGACTCCTGCACTTAGGATGGAAGAACCCCAGGCACCAGTACAGGCTGGGGGCTGACTAGCTGGGCAGAAAAGGCAGTTATACTGGACAATAAGATGAATACGAGTCAGCAGGGTGCCCTTGGTGCCAAGAAGGCTAACAGCATACTGGGCTGCATTGGTAGGAGTGTTGCCAGCAGGTCAAGGGGAGTGATTATTCCCCTCTATTCAGCACTGGTAAGGCCACATTTGGAGTACTGTTTTGGGCCCCCCACTACAGAAAAGATAAGGATGTGGATGAATTGGAGCAGGTCCAGCAGAGAGCAACGAAAATGGTGAGGGGGGCTGGGACACATGAGATCAAAAACCCAGCCCACAATACACAAACGATGAAAGGGGCTCATGAACAGAGACTTACCTTGAGGCTGGAAGAGGACCTGAAGCAACTGGAATCCATGCTGGAAAGCGGAACAGGAAGGGAGGAGACAGATGCATAAGCAGGATCAGAATTTCAAGCTAAGCTACACTGCTATCCATGCAGCGAGGCAAATGCTGGCACCATAATACAGTGCAAAAGGGAAGCAGGCTTCAAAACCATCTTGTTTTCAAAAAAATAACAATGAAAGATATAATGCATGCATTCCCTCACTTACCCATTCTTTTCAGTGATTAAGATTTGTGCTGTGTCAAAAGGCTGCCATTCCAGATAACTTAATTCCACTCTTAGTGATAGTGGGATTTATTTCTTTTTTACAGTTTTCAGTTTCTTCAAGGTGAAAGCTATTAGTAACCACAGTCCAAGGTGGATAAAAGTCATACCAGGGTTCAGATTTGATAAATAAGCAAATAATTAGCTCCTTCATTGATGGGAGCAGGGGAAAGAAAAAAAGGAAGATCAACTTTCTCTGAAACAATGGAAAGATGCATGAATTATTAGAAGTTGTCAGTTGCAATGTTTGCTCCAGAAAAAAAAGACACTGAAATAAGAAATGTGTCCCCCAATTTTATTCGCCCAATCCCAGTTTAAAGATTGAAACCATCAATTAAAACATACATAATATGCTAACAGCATGTACAATATAGACATTGTTCCTACACTGTCTGCTCAATGAGGCAATCACAACATCCTTGTTAAGCAAAAAAACAAATGAAGAGAAATCACTGGTGTAAAAATCAGCCTCTCCTAAGTCATTGTGTCCTTGTATGGTTAAATTCATGGAAGAACGAGAAATCTTGGAAGAAAACTCATTTTACACACAGCAGAGGTGCTCCTGGCATTCCATAAGAACTGAGTCTTGAAAAGATATACACCAAGGCCTAACCCAGTATGCTAAGAATATGTCAAAATCAGCAGACTGAGTGGTTAACCATTAATATTTCTGAAGAATCTTGCTTCATTTTAACTTTAGCCTGTGAAATAACTTGTAGTTTTGTTCTTTTTTCCTGTGCAAATATACAGCCATTAACTTCATTTGCTTTAAAGTACTCAATGCTAAAATACATTCTGTTTCCATAATATACATGCTATAAAGATGCACTCAAAAGTTCAAACATTTAAAATTAAAAATTATATTTATTTATTTATATATGTATATATGTTATATATACACCCAACTCTACTGTACATCCACGCCTAATAAGGCTGTGTTTTTGTAGGAAGCCTCTGCTAAAACCTTACTATATCGCTAAAGCCTATTTATATGTTTCTGCTACATGGATGATTGTGGTCATCCACTCCTCCTTCAGGAGACACCTCTCTATTTCTGTCTTTCATAAAATTGACTTACTTCCAAGCAACTTTCTGTGTCTCATATTTTTGTCTGTGTTACCCTTTAAACTTCAAGTTCTGTTGCATTTTGTCCTACTTGCACTTGGTTTCAATATATACTTCTACTGAGCAGCTGTAATCACAGTTGTGGAAGACAACCTGGAGTAATATGATTTAAAGCTGTCATTTTTCTCTAAAACATTCTTTTGACAGAAGTACTGTACTTTGAGTAGGATATAGAAAGTACAGTGCAATTCCCTCAGCTGTGTGCTTACACTACTCTTCACAAGAGGAAAGACTTTTAGAATTAGAACATATGCTGTATAACCCTTTTATAACAATGTATAGACTATTTTACTATATACAGATTATGTACACAATACCCTGGCCTAATGCAATAATAGCGTGGAGTCCCAAAACAGAATATACAGTGGTTTCAGATTCTGATCTGATGTAAACAAAAACTTGAATTTTACAAGCAACCAGCCTATTAGCAGTCCTACCTGCTTTCTACATGGTTTTATGTAGCATCAAACAACTTGTAGATTTCACCTTTAACCCTTCACAAATATAAATAGTCAGTGCTCAATGCAAGAAAAGCCTATTTGCATTAGATTTTTAGGAAATTAAATTGTATCAAGTTACAGTCTCCAGGACACCAAAAGACACTTTTTGGCATTCATGTGCTTTTGTTCATTAAGGAATAATGTGCATTTATTCAAAACACATGTATATCTATTTTCAATTTCAATAAAATTATCACCACATGATAAAAGGAATAGTATGTAAAAGGAGATCAGTAAACAGCAAAAATGGAGAATTATTCAAGTGTTAACTTTCTCACATTTACTTCACTAAGTCTACAGGACAGCAACTTTCTGTAAGGTTTTGGGTTTTTTTCGACTGAATCCTCACATTTTTGCCCACATTATTTGAGATGCTAACAGTTACTTTAACTGGTGGTAAGAGGCAGTGGGAAAAGGATGTGCCATCTCAACCCCAAGCTATTAGGTCGGTCAGACAAAAGTTACCGCTTTCAAGGGAATAATAAAGGGTAAAAACTAGTACTAATATTGCACTTTTCATCCAAGGATCTCAAAGCACTTCACAGGAGAGGGAAATACCACCAATTTTACAGATGAGGAAACTGAGGCATAAACAGTAAGGTTAACGTGAACTCACTCCAGACAGTGACCCAGCCTTGGAACTAAGTCCTGAAGTGTAAAATCACTAAGCTGCAGGACCCCCATATTGTTGGATACTGTAGTTCTGACTATATGTATATCTGCTTCTATTCCAGATGTTTTGTACCAAAAAGTCAGTGACAAAGTCCAGGCACCTCTATTTTATTAATATGAATTGGTTTCATTAGAAAAAAAAGTTCTAAGAAATATAACTAAAAACTGAGCTAAACTTAGTCATTTTTAATGAACAACATTAGAGAACCAACAGTAACTGTTTGAGGGCTTGTCTACGTTTGGCCCAAGCTGTTATTTTCATTACAGCAAGAAAGCAACCACAGTTGCCCCCAAAACAGCCCCCTGGCACGCACACAGCCTATGCCAGAAGAAAGAGTTTTTCTTCCACTATATTTATAGCTGCTCCCTAAATAGCAAAAGCTTAGCCAGGAAAAGTCACCTTCTACTGGCAAAACTGTGTCCATACCAGGGGTTTTGTTGCGATGGTGGTGTCAGGCAGGGACATGATCTCTTTGCATTCTTAGTCAACAACAGCCCCACCAGCAGAACTTTGTAAAGTAGACTAAGTCTTGGTGACAGCCTCACTTTCCTCACCAGTATCCAGGAGATTTTTTTTTTCTTGGAAACAATACACTCAGTAGGACAATGGATAAAATAGCATCTCATCCCAATTATCCCTCAATAACCATTTCAGATAAAAATATGCCACCTATTGCTAACCTATACAGTACCATAAAACTTGCATTAAAAGCAAGCCCAGTACTGATAAATTACATTAACATTTGCTTTGTAAATTGCACAATTCCAGTAGATTTCATATTAGTTACTGTCATTTAGAATGCAAGTTATTTTTTAAAACTATTGAGCCCATCTGGCTGGATACTGAAAGAGGGCATTTATCTATGTATATACCTGATGGTATGAGTACCGTCAACTTCACAAACTAAAATGCTCATTAAATGTTTAGTTATTTTGCAAGCAATGTCGCTGTCCTAGAATAGGTAACAAATTTTAAATGTCTTACTAAATATTCACAGTAATTTCAGGGGGGGAAAAAATTCATGTCTTCAAGACTACATGTTCAGCCACTATCAGTGTGAACACTTGTAATGTATTCCCGTGAGGGCCTTTCTAGCCATTTTCCTGTAGTCCTCCATTCCGTCTCACTATCCCTTCGTTGATGGTTGAAGGATCCCTTTTTCTACGAGATGAGATTTCAGGGTTTTATATACACTTAGTTGTTGTTCTGGCTGAAGTACCAACAGCTGTTTCAACAATTTGCTAGGATTTGGGCCCCTGTCAATGAAAAACAGGTTTTAATTCAAAGCAAAATCTGAACCTACCATAGAGAAGCGATGCTTCTTTCCCTTTCCCCATTGTACAAATACACTGTCAATGTTTTCTTAAAAGGAGAGGTTTTCCTAATGTAATGATCTCTCCAGAACAGATGTTTTGTCTTGTGATTTAATTTAATTTAAAATCTATTTTCCTCAATGTAGTCTTGTAGGAACATAATGAGAATTTTAACTAGGTGAACCAGGCAGTTGGACTAGATCAGTGGTTCTCAACCTTTTTTGTACCAGGACCCATTTTGTAAACATCAATGGCCAGTCCTGACCCAGTGGCCCTCACTACCAACCTGCTGCCCCAGGCTTCCAGTATATGGGGCAGAAGGTGGGTGTGTGGGGGGGTATGGGAGCCCTAAGCAGCCCCTCACAGGCTGGAACTCTGCCAGCCTGCAAGGGAAAAGCCGCGGTTTCCCATGTTTTTCCCCTTTAAAGGAGAATCCATTGTTTAAGTTTGTTGATCCATTTTTAAGTGTGTTCACAACATTCCTGAGACCCACTTTTGGGTCACAGCCCACTGGTTCAGAAACGCTGGACTAGATGACCACTTGAGGTCCCTTTCAGCCCTATGGTTCTATGAAATAAGTGGCCTGTCCTCAACTACATATCGAAAAATCTAGATCTAAAATTTAGAAGTTAGACCACTGAAATAAAAAGATTTGACTGGAAAAAACTTCCACTTAAACCTACTGGTTCCCCCTGAACAATACCAGACGTTAAGAGGAAGAAACAGAATCACAGCTCCTCTGACTGTAGCAATGGTTGATGTTAGTGGTTGTTTCCAATTAGCTTTCTTTATATTCAGCCAGGAACAAGTTCCAATCTTTCCATAACAGTCAGAGGTAAATAGCCTGCTATCCTCAGAAGTTGTATGGAATTTCATGATAGCTCCAAAATCCCTTTCCCAAAGTAATTAGACAAATAAAATTTAAAGCTAAGTTTTTATTCTAGCAAAGCAGAACTACATGCAATAGAAGGAAGTTTATTGCACTTATATTAACTATGTATGTGAGAATACCTTATGAAACTGGTGATATACACGTGAACAAAAGTAGCCATCAAATATTGACAATCAAAACGATCCATTATTCCACCATGGCCAGGAATAGTGTCTGCAAAATCCTTTAGGGAAAAAAAAATCACGGTAGTATACATGTTCACATGTACTACATTAGTATGATACTGTTTGTTCCACAGCAGTGCCTGAAGGCCCTAATGAAGACATGGGTTCACTGGTGCAGGGCACTAAAACTCATAGCAAGTCTCTGCCTCAAAGAACTTTCAATCCAAACAGACAAGACAGATAAGTAGTAAGAAGAGAAGAGAAGGGGCACAGAGAGGTGATGTGACTTGCTAAAGGTTAAGCAATTTAATTCCTGCACTGCGACTGTTCCACCAATGCACATCTCTGTGGATGCTGAATTATATCTAGCAGTATATAAGCCTTCCAGCAACAATCCCATAATGCCCCTTTCCCCAGAAACCACTTCTGGTTACAATTTTGATCCCTGCTGCCCAGAGATCACAAGGACTGGAAGTCATCACCCTCTCCTCTTTTTAAAAAAAATCACAAAAGTATTTAAGAAATGCCTGTGTTAACACACATTAGCACACAGTTTTGCTATTGGGAATCTGCAGTTCAGAAAAGATTGGACAAACTCTAAGCAACAGTGTGCTGTAGGAAAAGTCTTGGATTTTCCACCTGCAGGCAGAGGGACTGAACTGCTTAGGAATATCAGTAATTATCTAGATATTGTGAAGGACACACAAAAACTGCAGTGAAACAGGGACAAACAGCAATACAGAGTGACATGGCAGGAATTGCAGCAGTCCAAAAGGTGAAGTCAACAAAAATTCTGGGCTGCCCCCCAACCTCTCATACTGAGCTGGGGCCACCTCACCAGTGACTGTGGACCCACTGCACTATTCTCAAAGCAAGGAGCTCCACATATACATGGATCCTTTCACTGAGAAAAGGGTCTCAGAAGATGCAAATCCCATTGGAAAGCAAGGAAAGAGAAATGGTGAACTGGAATCTCAAGTTCCTCAAGATGGTTTATCCTAATGCACGCTTTACTTCCTGCCAGCCTTCTCCTCCTCCCTGCAGTTCTTGCCATGGAGGGATGCTGCAACTGAGGGGGAACTGAGCAGGAAGCATGGGCTGTCCTTTACATCTTTACTGCAGAGCACAGCAAGTGGCAGGTGCTGGCAAACCCTACAAATACAGCACCTGGGATCCAGCACCTTCCCTTGTCACTTGCAGCTTCCAGCATCAAATGTCTAGGAAGTTCTGACTCAGGGGCTGTGCCCCTGACTCCCATGCTCAGTAGCTACTGATGTCCCTTTCCTCCAAGAAACTGTGCCAATTTGAGAGCAACTGTGAAAAAGTTAACACTGGACTGAACCCCCTCCTGCTTTCTGACAAGGAGAGAAAAGCTGGCAGCTGTCATGTAGCACATCTTTATGCTTCTACTCTTCTTTGCCTCTATTCTGGCAAGAAAACCAGCTTCTCTGCTTAAAATGTGCCAATTTGAGAGAGCTGATTTTTGACGGAAGAGTGTGTGCTGTATACAAGTAAGTTTAAGAACAACATACGCTATACGTTTGAACAACCAGAGTACTGTGTCAGAGGCTTGATGGTCAACATCCCTTTTCAGCAGAAAGTGTGTGACTGGGTCGTTACAATCTGAAGTCACGTCATTCAAATTTTAGAAAGAGGATCTATCAACATTTTCCTAAGTTGAAAAAAAAAGTTTCATACAAACCTTGATTTTGAAAGCCCTTTTGAATCCACTAGCAAAAAAGCCTCCAAATGGCCCAATTAAGGAAGCAAATGTTGACAAAGCAATGCTGTGCATTTGGAATGGGTACATGTTCACTGTTTCCTGTAAGAAAATAATTATTACCAAAACCAACTATACAAGTTTTTACAGGCCTTCCAGATGTACAAAACTAAATTCCATATCACATCTTTAATTAAAAGGCTTTAAAATTATTGTAACAATAAAAGTGTATTTTGTTTTAAAGGAAACCATCTCAGAAAATATCCATTTTTTCTTGTACAAAAAGGACATTAACTTACTAGAAATGAAGCATATTAAATCATTAAAGACTGTTACTCATTTTCATTAATGAAAAATGAACTAGTCAGTACTACTGGGGTATTTTAATATTTCCTACATATCCAAGGAATGTCAGACATCACTGTCTTCTCATCCTCCAATTCTATATGTTCTTTACATTGATTTGTATCTTTGTTCATCAGAGGAAATAGATGGCCAGTCTCCCTTTTTATACAAGACGGAGTTCTGCTCCTCTCCCCATCACAGACCTTTCCCATATATTTCTCTCCTAGCCACTTCCTCTACTGAAAAAGAAAGGGCCTACCGACTCATCCTTTGATTTATGCAAAGTGCAACTTTGTCCTGTGTTCAGAAGCTCCCAAGGAACCAAAGTTTCCCTTTAAGTAATTCACTAGCACGTTCACTTGTCGTTGGTGACAGTATGGCAGACTAATGCAATGATAATTCTAGTATTTCAATGCTGCAGCAAAGAAATGAAAATGACTACTCTTACCTCTCCATCTTCCAGTTATATGGCCCTATAACTCTTTATTACAGAAACAGAAAATTACACAGTGGCTGCATCACCATCACTATTGGTGTTCTCCACTCTCAAATCAGCAGTCAAAAATTCTCTAAAGGAAAAAAATATTCCACCTCATATTTTACACTCAAATGTGCATTGTTCTCTACATCTAGTTGACAAACTGCAGGAGCATTTCATTCTCTGTGCTTACTTGTTACATTAGTCAAGCAAAAAAGATTTTCCATCAGTAGCAGAGAGCAAAGATTCCCCACTCAACCTGCTTCCATCCCGAACATCAAAGTGAAAAGACTGCAAGGGTACATTTAGCAGCCCAGCACCCTCAACAGAGTCTCTTGGGGTCATACGGTAAGTCAATGGTACAGTAAGAACTTTTTTCTTGAAGAACCTCTTGTTAAACACTTCAGAGAGCAAAGAATTTCTAGATTAGTAATCGGTTAACAATACAGACAACAGCTCAGGTATCCTAAATCAGGGGTTTTCAACCTTTGCACAGGAGAAGACTGACCTGGACCCCCAAGGGCCCCGGGTGCAGTGGGCGAGGTTCAGC